AATGTCTTTCACGGTCTCCCTCTGGCTCTTTCTGTGCGTCTTGCATCTAGCAATTCGGAATATGATTCATTGATGACTAAAGGAAAATATTTTATATTTGACAGTTGATTGTACATAACAGAATCTAGGATATTATTTACGAATCCTTATGTTGAATAATAATCCATTATTGATTCGTCTACCAAAAGACTGTTTTACCGTGAACATTATGACACCTTCAACATTCCTATCTTACCTGTAAAATCGCTTACTGGAGCGCTGGATTTGCAGCTATATGATGCAAGAAATAGTCAGTTAATATTAGAGAATGGCAACCATGTGTTGCCACCACAACGATTTGAAATTTTAAAACATTAAGCTGATCTGTCACAGCACAAAAGTAGAGCTTTTGCAAAATGCAGTTTTAGGTCGCACTCTGAAAGTTCAGTTCACAAGGTGACCGCATTTCTGCCTTCAGAGTATTTACCTTTGCGAAGAACAGTGTTGGGGAACAAGCAAGTTCATATTGATAACATTATACTGTGTTACATCAAAAAATGGATATCTCGGTGCCACAAAAAGCTTGCACAATCAAATAATATTAGTGGTGTTACCACTCCAGCTCTTTTGATAAATATATATATATATATATATATTTAAGACAATTCATAAGACCTGGTGACTTTGTTCTGACTTACATAAGTAATGCTATTTCTATACGGTTGAAGTCATATACAATGAGAATGTCTTAAACAAAGTTAGCAGCAGCACTCTATAAAATGAATATTTCTATTCAAGTCATTTTTTGTGTTATTTCTTGTGCACAAACATTATTTATCGAGGTCATCTTCTTCAACCGACTTTTTGGAAGGACGCAGTGAATAAGTACATGTCTCATATCACGTCATTTATTTTTTCTCACCATGATTTATAGTGACGACGCTCTCTGAACTCATCAATCCACAAGGGAAGATATACTTAATGCTATTGAAACACCTGAATCACAAACGCAATTAAGTTAAAAAGTGTGCCGGAAGTTAGTGTCTCTGAAGGGTGCAGACTGTAGTGTGTACAATAATTTTGTCATATTTAAGTGCACCATCACTAAAGAACAACATTTAGTCGTAGTTTGAAATTTTATGCATGGATGGAAACAAACAAATTGTACCAAAAATACACATTGCCACAACGGCATCTCGAGCGCTACTTAGCAATGGTCTACTCTGACACAAAAGAGAGTACCATAAAGTATCTCTGATGAAACGGAACGGAATATGTGTACGGAAATGACCGTTTACATTAAACAGTCAAAGGATGACATCGATCAATATCTTTAGTAGAGTAACTTTGGGGTCGGTCAAACAAGACCTTGTTAGCAACAGCCTAGCGTCACACAACGAAAAAAGTCACTTCTAGCTACATTAAAACAGTAAAGTCCTAGCTAAAGTAGGTTGAAAAGATTTCAAATGAAAGTTAAAATACAAGGATTAGTGAAAATTAAGAAAATAACAGTGCTTTCTAGCATTTATTTGAAATCAATTTTAGAGTGAATCTTCTCTTGTCGTACTTGTTAGTTAGTAAGCTCAGCATTGATATCCAATATTGATTTATTCGGTGTACGGAATTACTGCGGATTATGAACACATGGAAAACGTTACATTATCAGATGACCCGTAATTTAAAACTTCGATGCACTTGGATGACCCGACAGTATGGATTTTGTCTTCACTCACAGACAGCAGTTAAAGTAGGACCTAAATATTGAATTATACTTTGTCCACTCCTGGAAGCAGTTAAATTATGACATGCTTACGGGATCATTGTTACGGGAGACATGAAGACATTTCACTGTGTTTTTTGGGTATATTTGTTTTACTTAACTTATGAACTTGTTTGAATTATTATTTTCGGCCATTTCGGACTCCTGTTTGTCTTGGTTGTTCGTTTGCAGTTTTTTGCTCCAGGAATCTATAAAATTGAAGGTAATTTTAATTATTATAATTATTGTTGTTAGAACGACATTGGTCGTCTATTTGTAATAAACGAACGACATTTTGGTCGATTATTGTGAATTAAGAATAAACTCTGGTACCTACTTTGGAGTTTCGTTTTGATATAAATTTGGGTTCGTGAATTGCAAATAGATCGACACACTGTGCTTCTAAGAACGAAGGAGCAAAAAATTGGACGTAACAATCATATTTCATACCGTTTTCTCTCAAAACCAGCCTCTGTTAACTAGGAACATCTCACAAATATCGTGCTATAACTAACACAATTTTGAGTACTTGCAAGTGTTTTCCTATGGGATATTCAACATCTGCTATTTTAGCAGAGGTGTACTAGGTAATGGAACAAAACACAACGTGCCTCTATTGCAAAGTAGGAGGAATACGTGCTTTTATATGGACTCGAAGATCATATTCCAAGCAGGAATAGGGCGATCTCGCGACATTGCAGACGATGAAGTGAGCAAGTAAGGCATGATATTCCTCCGATGTTATAAAGTACACCAAACAGAAGATTGAGTGGTAACACAGATCAACGGCCAATTCATAGATGATGCGTAAAAGCAGCATTAATCAACATAGAATGTGAAGGGAATATGGAGGTCCACAAGAATCGAAGAAAATTTAACTGAGCTTCCGAAGGACCATATATCTATTGAGGAATGGACTGTAAAAAAGAGAATACCGCTAATCTTATCAAAATGTCTTGTTATGAACATTCTTTTCAACATTACACAAACGACTTGCATCCTTAATGAACTGATGTCCAGAATATATAGGGGAGGCAGCCAAGTCCAACGCAATCCAGAATTATTCTACACACTCCACAAAACACGCTCAGGTCCATACACCGAGGTCCATAATGCTGTCACACCCCATCTCCTTAGAAGAGACGTAAATCTTCAGGATGGAGAGCCCAACATGAACAAGGTACCGGAGCCACCATACCTCTCGAGGTAAGCCTCGAAAAATCGAGCATCAAACCGCTAACACGAAGGCTCGTGCACACATTCTCTCATTAGCAGTTGTTGCAACTTGGAATGCTCTCTCAGAAAATGTGTCCACAGCCCCTCCGTCGAGAGCTATAAGAAGAGACTTGACAAACAAGTACTCACATAGATTATGATGTCCCTCGAGGACCAGCTGTGCCTGATGCATGTCTTGAGACCTGCCAGTTATTATTACTGCCATCTACTCAGATCACTAACTTAATATTTCTCGCCCATTATCTCATTTTCCTCTCCCTTGCTTACACTTCAGTCCTCTCGCACAATCTTTACTACCAATTATTGAACTAAATTATCTACATATTACTTAGTTCTGAAATCCTCTTCTCATTAGCATTAGAATTTTCTCCTTACTATTCTCCACAATGCAACTAACCGATCTCCGATCTGGTAACGTGATAGCTGCTAGCATCCAAAAAACCTACTTTTCCCAAAGAAACGTACTCATATCACGAGACATACAAACTTACAAACAACTGACGACCGAGTTGGAGAGTATCCACTTCAGGAGTTTCACAGGGGACTATCCTAGGCTCACTCCTCTTCCTGATATTTATTAACGACCTGCTAGGCTTAGTTAACTCACCGGCACTGATCTACGCAGACGATGCGAAGATCTAGAGGTCCATTAGAAGTGAAGAGGATTCGACTGAGCTTCAAAAGGACCTTACATCTATTGAGAAATGGGCAGTGAAAAACGGTTTAAAACTCAACCAACCGAAGTGCCACGTCATGCATTTCCTGCCTCATATGACGCAAACCACCTACACTCTCAATGGAAGTCCGCTCCCTAATGTCTCCTCAGAGCGCGATCTTGGTTTAATAACCACAGAAAGCCTCCACACGAGTCCAAACTATATAGGGGATCCAGCCAAGGCAAATGCGACTCTTCACTTTATGCGAAGACGGCTTGGAGCTATGACCTCGAAATTATTTTTAACCCTGTTTAAGACGTACGGGCGCCCACACTTGGAGGTTCACAACGTCATCGCACCCCCTATGCTTAAAAGAGACATTAATCTCTTGGATCGAGTGCAGAGACGAGCAACCAAATGGGTGATAGGGTTGAAAAATAAACCCTACGACGACAGACTCCAGCTCTTGGGATTATTCCCACTGAGCTACAGGAGAATCAGAGGTGACCTGATTATGGCGTACACCATATTAAACACGCCCAACCATCCCAATGTGAGCATCTTACCGATGCATCACCACCACTCCCCTTGAGGCAATCCTCGAAAGATTGCACATCAAAGAGCAAACACTCAGGTTCGTGCACACTTTTTCTCATTGCGAGTCGTCGCAACTTGGAATGCTCTCCCAGCCGAGGTAGTTACAGCCCCCTCAGTGGACTGCTTTAAGAAGAGACTTGATAATCACGTACTCACATACGGACTATCATCTCCCTCTTGGACAAGCTGTGCCTGATGCATATCTTGAGACCTGCTAGTTGTTACCATTGCCATCTCAGATCACTCAATTAATCTATCTTGCCTATTATCTCTGATTCCTCTCCCTTGCTTACACTTCGGTCCTCTCTCGCAATCTTCACTACCAATTAATAAACTAAATTCATCTATATGCTAGTATCCAGAAACCCTACTGCACTGAAACAAACGTTTCATTCAAATCCCGAGACATACAAACTCACAACCAACTGCCAACTGACTAGAATTAGACAGTCGAGTGGCTAGACCTCCATCCATTGGACATTACCGAACACCTGGAACCGTACCGAAAGAACAAGAATCGAGCGCGAAGAAATCAAACTGGTTTACACTAGCTCGTGAAAAAGATATTGGATATTGGACTAGAATTAGAGCAGTTTGGTCACTAGACTACCATCGATGATACACTACCGAATATTTGGAACCGTAAAAAATATCGATATTCGGGCACAAAGAGATTAATCAGTTTATGAAAGCTCTTACAAAAATATTGAATATATATTGAAGTTTGTTTTGCTCGCTTGTTTTTCCAAAAGTACACACAAATCTTATAGCCGCGGGGTTTTAGTTATGCATATTCACTGACCCACTACCTTGTTAGGACATGAAGTTTAATTGCATTTAAGTAAAAAATTTGATGCAATCCTAAACGTAAGTAGCCCATGAAATTTGGTGTATATAACTAATTCGTGGAACCATTGAATTTTCTCAGTAAACGTACAAATGACATACTGTCCAATGTTTAGAAGATCCAGAGTTGATTGTTTTGAAAAAATAACACTTTTAATGCCATGATTAGTGTGACAAATCAAACTAATGTTATTTGGTAAACGCGGTTAGTCCGTTGGGTTAGTCGACTCTCTTCACTGATAAGGATAGATGACAGGGGGGAATTATATGAACATTCGTTATTTCTAGTACTTTAAAGATCGTATATCCCTTTGAATATATTCGCAAAAGTTTTCTAACGTCATTCTTATGTAGATGTACTTAAAGGGATGTGCTTCAAATAGAAACGACTTTGTTTTGAATGTTGGATTTTTTGAGAATGTCCATGTTCATTGAGCGAGGATGCACGATAGTTTTTTCCCATTTGGGTCTTGTTTTAGAAACATAGCCCGAACAAAGTAGGTGTGTGAATATTTTATTGTTAGAGATCTAGATCTTGTGACGTTTGAACGTCTAGAATCATTCATGATCCAATATTCGTTCGACTGAAGAAGTGATGAAACAATTTGGGTCGAAAAATTCATCATTTGATGAGGACCCAGCCTCACTAAGAGACTAATTAGAATATAAACGATAGAAAATGAATTTATATATGTTTTGTGCTTTTTGGGTCAATATAAATACTTACCATATTCCAGCATTTATTTCACAACAGTCAACCGTTAAATTTACAGAAATCTGAAAATATTCTCTTGAACTGTGCATTCAGGTTATCTGAGATATACTGGTGTTTTAGACCTTCTGAAGTGTTAAACAGTGCAAATGATTTCATAAATAGTACGTCAAATTAGATTTTGATGTGGCATGATCAACACCACTTAAACTGAAAATTATTACATTTGAGACCGCCAAGTTTATAGACTTAGTTCGCTCATCTGGTAGTTTGCTAGTTTGTATTTCATATGCAGGAACTCATTAGATCCTTTCGAAGATAGGATTCTGCGTGCACAGTACAGACTTACAAATTTCCGCTGACCCAGTTACTACCGACGTTTTGACAGAAAGAAATGAAACACCTTTATACTACGTCTCACGACGATAACTAAGTACAAATCGGGTATCAATACAAAGTTGGACTTGGCAGCATACTTTTTGAGGCTACCGTCAAATATCAATTCTTTTTCGGTGTTTTCGAATTTTGTCTATTTTTGAACTTCAGAGGAATCAAGGACGCCGACCTTGAGAGTGTTTGATGTCAGAATATGTCCCATCGTAATTACGTACGCGAAGAACAATACGTCGGACCGTACAGACTTGAGAAGACGTTGGGAAAAGGTCAGACAGGTCAGTTGATCTTGTGTCACAGTTTTGTTTGAGTAGAGTTATTTCTCTTCTAACGCGTGAAGATATCAGTTTTACTAGTAATGACTTGGGTTATTTCCTTGTGGATATTTTGACTGAACTTCGATCAATGGAATCACAGAATGACTGTCAACTCTGAAATTCAGGTACATTCGGATAACGAACCCCAAATATAGCTGGAAGTACACCCTGGATTCTAATACTTGCAATATTTTATCTAATGTTTGTAAAAAAAGTCAGTTAATGTTGATCACCATGTGTCCATTAATTTAAAGAACCATTTACATATGATGCTGTATGTTTGTTTTTCTATGAATTCATGAAGCTTTCATCGTTATCATTTTAATGAGGGTACAGCTTCATCATGCTAATCAGCCGTTATAGTGGGCTAAAATATCAGACGCTCAACTGTTTTATCAAGACAGTTTTAAAGATTTCAGTTTGACAAGCATTCTAGCACCATAAGATTTTAAAGTATAATTTTATGAATACACAGTTGTTTCATTCAAGCTTAAAAATAAATCTTGAATAAACAGTCAATAATCTTGATGCATAAAAATCTCTGGTTTCTCCTGCTTGTTGTGTAGTAACATTGATTTCATGTTACTGTTATGCTCTTTGATTTACTGCAAAGTAACGAATGCTAAAATAGCCATAGGAAGATATCCGTCAGACATGAAAATTTTTATCTAAATTTTTAAATTTTTCCAACATAAATATTTGCAATAACTCAAAGTACATAGATATTCGTTGTAAAATTTTTTATATCCCAACCTCTACCCATAGTCAGGGTGTGGACATTTTGAGTGCTTTTACTTCAAACCCTACATTTGGGTTTGTACTAAACCTAAGTCAATAAAAAATATTTATTCGTTTTATGAATATGCTGATTTCCATTTCCATGCTTAATTAAGCATAACAACAACTCAGAGTAGATTTTGTTTGTTTTATGGGGAAATCTCAGTGCTTCCCATTTAATTCAACCTACCTGCAACATAGCAGTCAGATATTTTAGTAAATTATCTCAATTTGTCCTAGCAGTTGAGTTTTTTGTCAGTATCATACCATTTTTGAATGCTTATGAATCGATGAAAACACACTTCGGTGGCCCACGATCTCCTGTCAACCTGAATGGCACCTCCGACCCTTTACGAAGTTGATAAAGCCATAGGAAATCTAAAACGAGAGAGAGCAGCGTGTCTTGATTGGCTAACTCCTGAGATTTTTAAATTTGGTGGTCCAGTTTCAGCATTTGGATTGACTGAGATCTTAGATAGAATTCAAGAACTGGATGTAATCCCATCCTACTGATCTCAATCCCTTATTGTACCAATTTATACGAAAGGAAAAATGTCCTCTTGCGACGATCACAGAGGAATCAATTTAACTAACTTAGTGCCTACATTATTAGCCGCGATAATACTTAGAAGCTCACTAGAGCTCGTGAAAAGAAGACTGAAAAAAACCAGGTTAGTTTCATACCTGGACGCGGCTGTATAGACCACATATTCACACTACTGACAGGTCCTAGAACACAGACACACATTTAAACGTCCGACAATAGTTGTCTTCCCAGGCAATAAAGCGGCGTCGGACTCTGTTGATCGTCGCGTTCTGTGACAGCGTCTTTCATTGGAAGGAGTACTAAGTTAGTACATTAACCTTATACAAGCTCTCTACTCGAACACCACTTGTCAAATGAGAGCTGTCATCGGAATTGATTACCTTGAGTGGTATGTCAGGGTTTTCATCTCGCGGACCAAAACCAAGTAGTCTTCACTTACCAATATAACTCAATTCATATGTCAGTGGTTTCATGGGTTTTTGACACGTTTTGGTTTGACCGCTCCTTACTTTCTTCTAACTTACTCCTACATCACAAAACATAGCTCGACGACGCAGTCGGTGACTGGGCATATGTAATTCGTGTCCAAACAATCTAAACTGACGAAGTTTCAATATTTCATCTATTAATCTTCTATCCTTACCTAGTACTGGTTTTCAATTTAGTCTCGTGTGCTGTTAAGAGTGTGAGGGCGGATGTCACTTCCCGGCTGCTCACACCGTGAAAGGGTGTTTCTGGAGAAACCTGAAAAAGAAGTCGCAATAATGTTGGTCTTATGATTCTTGGAGCGTGACCTCAGAGTTCAATTAACAACTGCTTGTGGCCGGTCACGCATGATCTTTTTATGGGAAGTTTATAAAGCGTCAGCCCCTCCCTTTTTTAACAGGCCTTACCGCCGGAGACGGAAATCCGTGGAGCAAAGTGAGGTGTGACATTTATAGGGTCGACCTCTTCTTACTCCTTCCTTCTTTGTGGGAAGGCAGCGTCGCTGCAGGTGCTGGTTGTCCGAGGGAAATGCCTTACTGCTGTCACACTCCTTTACAGTCAGTAGTACGACTTCGCCCTCAGACCTTGAGTAGCTGCTTTTAGTCTCACCGCTCTCCCATCGACCTACCTGGTATGGCAGAACCTACGGGAACATATGTTCCAGCCAATAGAGCTCGGTTGAATCGTCACGATAGGCAAGCCCAACCACCACGTCAATGTAGTAGCTACGGTCGGATTACAGGATTTGAACTGACAATTGAGTCCCTATGCATAATGAAGTTATGTACGTATGGATGAAGTTCTACGTTGTAACTGAATGCATATTAGCGGTGTTTGGCTATTGAAGACAAAAACATTAAGAGTTTGTCAATCGGTCTACATTACGCGAACAATGGCGTGTCCACTCTCTCTTTCAAATCCATTTAATGATTGGCTTTCTGAAATATATATTAGAATTGTTCTGTCGTTTTGTAGCTAAACAAATAGAGAACTATTTGTTACCTAAGATCCGTATCTGAGCAGTAAGAGAGCGCTTTTAGTTAAAGTTTTATAATTTTTGTTGTCAGTCAGTCAGTCAGTTACAACGTAGAACTTTGTAGGTAAGTACATCAGTTTACATTGCCATACCACATTAGCACAGAGATGTAATTGTCGATTCGAATCCCATAGTGATAGAGATAGCAGAAGAATTACTGCTAATGGAGAAGATTAGGATTTGAAGATAATATTCAAGAAGGATAAATGAGTGATATAAGTTTAGAAAGGAAAGGTAGAGGTGTTGACGAATCCAGAATATTGGGATTTGAGAGAACACAAAGAGTGGATGCACCTGCTCCATTGCAAACGATTTTGAGCCATGTCATTCAAGGTCTCTAACCATCGCTAACTATCACCTCGTGGACCCCAACCATGTAGCCTACATTTACCAACATGGATCAATTCATTTGTCAGTGACTTCATGGACTTGTGCCACGTTTGGGTTTGGCCGCCCCTAGCTTACTCCTAACCTGCTCGTACAACATAAAACATAGTTCTTCGAGGCAGCCGGTGGTCGGACATTCGTAACAGATGTCCCAACCACCTCAACTGATGAAGTATTAAAGCTTCATCAGTTGATCTGCCAACCTTACCTAGCACCCGTTTCCTAATGACAGCATTGCTTACTCGGTTGTCCCATGATACACGAGCAATCCTTCGGAGACACCTATGATCGAAAACCAGTAACCTACGAATATCCTCTACTCTCACTGACTGACTGACACTGGCCATGTTTCACAGCCATAAAGTAGGACGGAACGAACTACTGCGCTGTACACTCGTCCTTTAGTCACCAAACGGATATCTCGCCTACGCAATAAGTGACTCAAGTTGGCAAAAGCCAATCGAGCCTTCTGTATCCGTGCTGAGATTTCGTTACGACCAGGCCATTGGCACTGATGAGACTCCTCAGATAAGTGAAGTGGTCTACACATTCTACTGCTTCACTCCCTATCACTAGCTCAGGTGGCGATGTAACCCCATCTCTGAGCAACATTTTGTATTTTGAGGGGGAAAACCGCATGCCTAACATGCTTGCATTGTTGCTCAGGGTAGTCGGAAGACTCTGCATTTTGTCAGCATCTTCACCAAATAGAACTATGTTATCTACATATTCTATGTCAGCAAGCTATTTTCCTGGTTGATGTCCACTCCTGAAAATTAAGACAAGGATAAGGTTATATCTAGGAGCATGTCTGTGACAAAATTAAACAAGAATAAAAAAGTGGACATCCCTGACGGACATCACTTGATGCAGAGAATTCAGATGACAGTTCGCCATATACTCTCATCCGACCAGTGGTGTTTGAGTACAGAGCTTGTATGAGGTTAATGTACTTTTCTGGTACACCTTTCAATGACAGACACTGCCACAGAACCTCACGATCCACAGAGTCAAATGCGGCCTTAAGGTTCAGGAAGACGACTATTGTCGGACGTCTGAATGTGCGTCTGTGTTCGAGGACCTGTCGTAGTGTAAAAATGTGGTCCATACAACCACATCCAGGTCGAAAATCAGCCTGTTTTTCTCTATTCTGCCCCTCAAGAGCTCTAGTTAGGCATCTAAGTATTATCGAAGCTAACAATTTAGACACTATATAAGTGAGACTGAAAACCCTGTGTTAATCACAAGAAGACTTTTGTACATTCTTATAAATTGGGACGATCACGGATTGGGACCAGTCAGATGCGATTACGTCCAATTCCTAGCTTCTACATAAGATATCAGTCAACCTAGCCGCTTAAACTGGACCGCCATCCTTAAAAATCTCAGGGGTCAATCTATCAGGACCCACTGCTCGCCCTCGCTTCAGATTTCCTATAGCTTTCTCAACTTCATAAAGAGTCGGAATAGTTACATCGATTTGTCCTTCTAGTTGACAGGAGGTCCTGGGCAACGGATATGCGGCTGAAGGCCAATTGAACTAATCCTCAAGTGTTCTGCTCATCGATCCGATCTCCTGGATTGAGAATGGATAATAAGATCATCCTCTTCCGAAATAGTCTCACTCACATTCGGGTTCCTAATACCAGTTTCCTTGATGAGTTTGAATAGTTGCCTACTGTTGCCTATCGCCGCAGCCTTTTTCATCTCTCTCACTTTCGCTACCCATCACTGTTCGCGGTCGTTGCGTAGGCTTCTTATCAGCCTGCGCCTGAGCTGACTCCGCTTCTCATCGCATTCAGAGCCAGGTGGGATGAGCTTTCGAGCATCCATCAGTTCGGTAGATGCTACTGACTTCCACGGCTTCTCCCTAACCTTATTGTTTACCTTACTATCACATATCACTGCCGTTTCCACAGCCGTTTTGATATCGTTCCAAGCTGCTTCAGGGTGGTCATCACTTACTACATGACTGCCTAACTGTTTTCCTAGTTGTTTCTGAAATTTATTCTTAGCTTCATTGTCACTAAGTAAAGCCCTAGCAGGTTTCCTTGCGATATTTTTCCTACGTTTAGTGAGACGCAAACAAATAAACGCTTGCACTAGAGCATGGTCTGAGTCTAAACAAGTGCTCCAGAATGAGCGGCAGTCTTCGACAAAGCCAATCCACTGATGGCTTATAGCGATGTGATCTTGGATTGACTTTGGCGGTCGCCAGGTCAATAGGTGTTTTACCTTATGCCTAAAGTTTGTTTTTGCCAGGAATAAGTGGTTATCTGAGCGCAGTTGCAGCAGACGGTCGCCATTATCCGTTCTCTGAGCCGCGACACCATAAGATCCACCCAGGTGTCTTTCCTTTTCGGTGAGTCTACCTAGTTGAGCGGTTAAGTCACCAGTCATCATTACTATATCAGAGTGCCTAACGTTTTGGAGATCTGAAAGCTTTCTGTAAAACTCATCTTTCACCTCTTCTGAACTGCAGTCAGTGAGAGGGTAGGCGGAGACAACGAAGAGGCAACGGCGAGTGTCCCTATCCTTCCTAGTCCGTACCGTTTCGTTTAGTCGGAGAACGCATAAGCGACTATCTACTGCGATTCAGTCTAAGAGAGCTAGTTCTGCCCTAGGACTTAATACTATACCTACGCCGGCGGGACCGTGAGAAGCGGCATCAGGGCTTCCAGAAACACGATGCGTAAACCTTGTTGTGTTTCTATCTGTACTAGGTGAAATCAAATTGATGATTTTACTCGGATCTTGTGTACGCGTTTCGGAGATGCAGCATAAATCGATTGCTCGGGATTCCAAATTTCTAGCTAATGAAGCCTGTTGCCCTATTTGGCATAGGGTTCGAACATTAAAAGCTCCAATAAGTAATTTAGTACGTGGTTTCAAGAGACCAGGAATAATGTTTCGTGAGGTCAAACTGTTTGCTTCAGTGGCGCGAGGTGATAAACGATCGAAAGAAAGGTTGATCGAGGAGAAAAGAGAGTTATTAAGAGGTGTAGAAAGGATTTGATTGTGACGAATTTGGTCTCATGTGCTTTTTTGAGTATGAGGGCGGATGTAACTTACCGGCTGCCCACACTGTGGAAGGGTTCTGGTTGTCAGAAGGGGCATCGGCCTCATGACTTCCGAAGGAACTCGGCTTTCATCATGAGACGTCATAAGTCTTCTAGATGAAGACCTTCTGACTGCTATAGTAGAGTTCATATAGTTTGAATTATTATTTCTTGTTAACGTTTTTTTGGCAAGTAAGTTTCTCCCGGGATGGGGTCGCCAACACACATCTCAACCCTCCTCCTTTACCCGGGTTTGGGACCGGCAGTAGCCCCGAAGGGTCTACAGGCGGAGTTATGAATGAAGTAGAGTTGATTAGATCATTATATGTAAACGCGTGTGACAGTAATGTTCACTTGTAGGTTCAGATATACAGCAGTTACAACGCTATATTTGTTTTTGACCGTTAGAGTATAAGGAGTAGTTAGTAGTAGTAGTAGTAGTGTAAGTTCATTATTAAGTTTTAGTATTTTGTCCATTCACACAGTTCAAAAGTTTGATAATACATTCATTTCATATGAACAGTCAAATATAACGTAGTCTTTTTTTTTTTGAGTCACCAAATCTTTCTGATTATATATATATATATATATATATATATATATATATATATATATATATCTTCTACATAACCTCATAATTTCACGATAATGATTTCTATAAATAAGCTTTTGGTATTGTAATACCTATTTATTTACATATCCAGTAAGCCTGTCGCTCCATCAAGTTTCATTTACCGCTTAGAAACTATTGCTTACCATATGCAATAATTTATATATATATATATATATATATGCGGTTTTCCCCCTCGAAATGCAAAATGTTGCTTCAAGATTGGGTTTCACTGTCACCTGAACTAGTGATAGGGAGTGAAGTAGTCGAACGTGTAGACCGCTTCACTTATCATGGGCTGTGAAACATGGCCAATGAGAGTAGAAGATACTCGTAGGTTATTGGTTTTCGATCATAGGTGTCTTCGAAGCATTGCTCGTATATCGTGGGACACCCGAGTGAGCAACGCTGTTATTGGGAAACGGGTACTAGGCAAGGATGGCAGATCAATAGATGAAGTGGTGAAACTTCATCAGTTGAGGTGGTTGGGACATGTGCTGCGTATGCCCAACCACCGACTGCCTCGTCGAGCTTTGTTTTGTAGTGAAGGAATAGGTTGGAAGAAAGTTAGGGGCGGCCAGACCAAAACATGGCAGAAATCCATGAAGTCATTGACGAGTATGAAGTTCTACGTTGCAACTGACTGACAATATATATATATGCCACCCGATCTAGTAATAATAATAATAATAATAAAAAGTTCCCATAGGAGTAGACTAGTTTATTTTTATCTGCCTCAATGAATTTCTAAGAAACCAAATGAATTTTATTAATAAAACAATTAATTGTATTTGTTTAAATAAACTATGTCCATTCGATATGGTATGTTCAATTTGATTCTTCTATTTTTTTCCCCTTTTTGATTCTTCAGGACTTGTTAAAATGGGAGTACATTGTGTGACAGGTAAAAAAGTAGCTGTTAAAATAGTCAACCGAGAGAAGTTAAGTGATAGTGTTCTTCAAAAGGTAAATTATTTTGTAGTTCATTTCTTTTCTTTTTTTTAACTTATAAAATAGGTTGAAAGAGAAATTGCAATTATGAAACTTATTGAACATCCGCATGTGCTTGGATTATATGATGTATACGAAAATCGACGGCATTTGTATGTATTTCAATGTGTACATATATAAATGATTAAATTTTTTTCTTTCTTCTTTTCTGTAGATATCTTATTCTAGAACATGTGTCCGGTGGTGAACTATTTGATTATCTAGTCCGTAAAGGTCGTTTAGCACCAAAGGAAGCAAGAAAATTTTTTAAGCAGATTATATCTGCATTAGATTTTTGTCATAGTCATTGCATATGGTAAGCAATAGTTTCAACACCTCTATTAGTTCTCATTAATTGACGAACCCAGGAAAAGTCTTTTTTTTAAAAACTTGACTTCTTTCCTCATGCTCATTGAATGCCTTGCAATAGACTAGCCTCTCCCTCGCTATATATATATATATATATATATATTGAACTGAACATTATCAGTGTCATTGAGTGTTCATTCAGATCAACTGAACGAAGACATTACAAGTTGAAAATACTGAAAACTGATCATGTATCCAAAAAGCTGTGGAAAAGTCAGTAACATACACCAGTAAGGAAAACCATAAGGTTAGGGAGAAGCCGTGGATGTCAGTAGCATCTACCGAACTGATGGACGCTCGAAAGCTCATCCCACCTGGCTCTGAATGCGATGAGAAGCGGAGTCAGCTCAGGCGCAGGCTGATAAGAAGCCTACGCAACGACCGCGAACAGTGATGGGTAGCGAAAGCGAGAGAGATGAAAAAGGCTGCGGCGATAGGCAACAGTAGGCAACTATTCAAACTCATCAAGGAAACTGGTATTAGGAACCCGAATGTGAGTGAGACTATTTCGGAAGAGGATGATCTTATTATCCATTCTCGATCCAGGAGATCGGATCGATGAGCAGAACACTTGAGGATTAGTTCAATTGGCCTTCAGCCGCACATCCGTTGCCCAGGACCTCCTATCAACTAGAAGGACAAATCGATGTAACTATTCCGACTCTTTATGAAGTTGAGAAAGCTATAGGAAATTTGAAACGAGGGAGAGCAGCGGGTCTTGATTGGCAATTTGAACTGTGTTACATACGTATGGTGTTCTACATTATAACTGATTGACCGACTGACTTCTGAGATTTTTAAGTATAGTGGTCCAGTTTTAGCAGTTGGATTGACTGGGATCTTAGATAGAATTCGGGAACTGGACGTAATCGCATCTGACTGGTCCCAATCCGTGATTGTCCCAATTTATAAGAATGTCCAAAAGTCTTCTTGTGATTATCACAGGGGAATCAGTCTCACTAATATAGTGTCTAAATTGTTAGCCTCGATGATACTTAGACGCCTAACTAGAGCTCATGAAGAGAAGACTCGAGAAAACCAGATTAGTTTCAGACCTGGACGCGGCTGTATAGACCACATTTTCACACTACGACAGGTTTGGAACACAAACACATCTAGACGTCCGACAGTAGTTATATTCCTAGACCTTAAGTTTTCCTATAAGCACGTGTGTCTCGGGACTATGGATTAAGCAGCGCTGTTGTTAGGATAAAGGTGCCAGGTAAGGATAGCCGATTAATAGATAAAATATTGAAACCTCATTAGTTGAGATGATGGCGACATGTGTTACGTAAGCCCAGCCACCGACTGTCTCGTCGAGTTATTTGTTGTTATATAGGAGTAGGTTTGAAGAAGGTAAGGAGCGGCCAAACGAAAACTTGGCGAAAATCGATATAATCACTGATAAATGAATTGAGTTATATTGGTAAGTGAAGACTACCTAGTTGTGGTCCGCGAGATGATAGTAATCGATGGTTGGCGATCTCGAAATACACTGCTGAAAATCGTCTGCAATGATACAGGTCGATCCATTCTTTGACTTCTCTCAAATCCTATTCTTCTGGATTCTTAATCACCTCCATGTTTCTCTTTTTAAGTTGATTTCACTAGAATTTACTTGAAAAATTCCTTGTGGTATGACAACTTGAACTGATGTACGTATGCACGAAGTTCTACGTTGTAACTGACCGACTGAACGAAAAACACAATTTCTTCATCATCATTTGTTTCATTGTTAGAATTATTGATGAATAATTTTAACGCATAAGATTTAAATAGTTCCAGCTTTTCACCAAGTAGATTCGTTCAAGCTTCAGGCAAACAACTATTCATTTAATGTTTAGCTAATTTTCTTTTCCTCCGGATTCCTTTAAAAGTAGTGAATTCCCAAAAGTATTTGTTTCTTATTCATAGAGATCGATTACCAGCTCTTCGTTTTCATTAAAATCAATAATCATAATTTGAAATCTTTTCAATTCTAATAATCTCTCTTCTCATCTGATTGACTGGAAACAACTTGCACAGCAATATGAAGTCAGGTATTACTAATTTTTAATGTTACACTTTTTTTTCCCTTAAACTCTTTTTTTGTCAGTGTGACCCGTCATTTGTACTTTTCACTAGGAAAATTCAAAATGTTGAAAGGTTTTTTTGTTTTTTTCAAGAGATCGGCAAATCGATATCTCACAAGTGTTTATAGTTTTTAAAAAGCCAATATTGGCCAATATGTTTAACAGTTCTGTTCCATTATCTATTGGAACTTGAATACAACACACTGTAACTATGATTGTTTTCTACTTTATCAAATAATATTTCCTATTTTTTTTTCTAATTCAATCAAAGTCATCGAGATTTGAAACCTGAGAATCTTTTACTTGATGATCAATTAAATATACGTGTTGCTGATTTTGGTATGGCGTCATTACAACCGGAAGGTTCATTATTAGAAACTAGTTGTGGGTAAGTATGTATGTTTTAATTTTTTTCTTCTTTCTGGCTTGTTAAACCCTACTTCTAATTTTTATGATTATTGTTGAAAAAGCGTTATTTTTTTTTTAAAGTTAGCCTCTTCTGTGCAAGTGATGATTAATTATTTAAAGACAATTATTTCATATTTCGTTTCAAAATTCCATAGTAGTTTCAATTCATGACCTCGGCATTGATTGTGAGACCTAGTATAGTAGTAGTTTGAAGATTGATAAAAGAAAGACAATATATTGAGATGAGTAAGTACCAGTTTCAATCACTTATTATAATCTTTTGAAAAATTCTTTAAACAAACTGTGGTGTGAGCTACTCATAAGTAGTATATGACGTGAGTGTAAACGTAATGTCCGGTAGCAGAAGATGGAGGAAGATCAAGAAAGGAAGAGTTAGAAAACAATGGAATTTGTATGAAACGCATGAATCGATGTTTGGCAACAGGAACAGTCCAGTTCGATAGGATGAACTGATCTTTTGCAAATGAACAATTTACGATATGGTTTTCCAATTTTACTGAGTAACTCTGTAATTTTCGTTAAATACAATTCGGTTGCCCCACCTGTGTTCTCGTTCACTACAAAACTATCTCATCTATGGTGGACAAACTGTTGATATTCTATGCTTAATGTGACAATTTTCCAACTAAAAGCAATTGTATAAAAAATGCCATGGTTGTTCATATATATATATATAAATATATATATATATCATATTTTGTATATATTCACTATGCTTTTAGTGATTTCCAAGTTCCTTCACATCTTCCTTATAGACATGATCATTTAATTTTTGTGTTGACAAACATTTTGATTCAGTGATGATAGAAAACAACTATGTTAATTTCATATACATATTTTTTTTCAAATCATACATACCACTTATTTGGATTTTCTTTGGTTGTAAATTAAGACAAATACGTTAAAAAGCTCTTCAAGTGAAATATTTTCCTTTATTTTAGTGTATATGTCATTGTAAAAGTCTACGCTAATTACTTGGTTAAATGAAGACAAGCATACTAACAAATTCTAATGATAATTAACTTAATTATATATGCGAAAATTGTCATTTTACTTTCACAATATTAAGTATTACAACTTTCAAATGGAAACTAACTCTGTATGAATTTTTCTTCAAGTATTTCTTAGTCAGTTAGTTTATTTCTATGGTTAAATAAAACTAGTAATAGTTGCCTGTTTTGCACACACACACACACACACACACACACTACTTCATGATGACATAAGTTGTTGTCTAAAAAGCATTAAGTTCGGTTATTGTGTAAATTCTGACCTCGACGAGCTATGATTTGTAGTTTAGGAGTAGGTTGGAAGAAGGCTAAGGGTGCGGCTAAACCAAAACATTGCATAATTCCATCAAGTCACTGAAAGATGAATTGAGCCCTGTTGGTAGGTGTAGACTACCTGGTTGTGGTCCACGAGACGATAGTAACCGATGGTTAGAGACCTTGAACGACATGGCTCAAAATCGTTTACAATGGAGCAGCCCGACCGTAGCTGCTACCTTGACGTGGTGGTCGGGCTTGCCTATCGTGATGACCCAACCGAGCTATACTGGCTGGAACATATGTTCCTCAAGGTTCTACCATGCCAGACAGGTCGATTGGAGAACGATGAGACTAAAAGCAGCTACCCAAGGTCTGAGGGCGAAGTCGTACTGCTGACTGCAGAGGGGTGTGACAGCAGTAAGGTGTTTCCCTCGGACAACCAGCATCTGCAGCGATGCTGCCTTCTCACAAGGAAGGAAGGGTTAGAAAAGGTCGGCCCTAAAAATGTCACACCTCCCCTAACTCACGGATTTCCGTCTCCTTGGGTAAGGGTGCCCACTAAGGGCCTTTAAGAACGGAGCTAATCCTCAAAAAACATTTCATAAAAAGGCCGTGCGTGACCGGCCTCAAGCAGTTGTCCCTTGGACTCTGCGGTCACGCACCAACACTAATCTATCTTCCTTTTCAGGTTCCTCAAGAAACAACCTTCCACGGTGTGGGCAGCCGGGAAGTGACAACCGCCCTCATACCCATAACAGCACGCGAGACCAAATTGGTCAAAATCAAATCCTTCCTACACCCCCTAGTACCTCTCTTATCTCCACGACTAACTCTTCTCACATTCATTCATCACAGTGCACAGCTAATGCAGACGATACGAGTTCGCGAAACGTCGTTCCTGGTCTCCTTAAACCTCGCTCTAGACTACATGTTGGAGCATTTAATGTACGGACATTGTGTCAAATAGGGCAACAGGCTTCCTTAGCTCGGACTTTAGAATCTCGTGCCATCGATGTATGCTGCGTCTCGGAAACGCGCATACAGGATCCGAGTCGCGTCATACACTTGGCCACACCATGTCAAAATAAAGAAGCAGCTCGATTTACTCTTCGTGTATCCGGTAGCCCTGATGCTGCTTCCAGGGGTCTTGCTGGCGTAGGCATAGCATTGAGTCGTAGGGCAGAACAATCTCTCCTTGACTGGATCCCAATAGATAGTCGATTGTGCGCTGTCCGACTAAACGGGACAGTAAGGACTCGGAAAGATAGGGACAATCGCCGTTGCCTCTTCATCGTATCTGCCTATGCCCCCACTGAATGCAGTTCAGACGAGGTTAAGGATGAGTTTTACAGAAAGCTTTCGGACCTCCTCCAAAAAGCTAGGCGCTCTGATATAGTAATAATGGCTGGTGACTTTAATGCTCAAGTAGGTAGACTAAGTGAGCAGGAGAAACACCTAGGTGGATGTTATGGTGTCGCGGCTCAGAGAACAGACAATGGTGACCGTCTGTTGCAAACATGCTCAGACAACCGCCTATTCTTAGCAAACACTAACTTTAGGCATAAGGAAAAGCATCTGTTGACCTGGCGACCTCCAAAGTCGTCTCAACGTTGGACTCAACTAGATCACATCGCCATCAGCCACCGATGGAGGGGTTCGATAGAGGACTGTCGCTCGTTCTGGGGCACATGTCTAGATTCAGATCATGCCCTAGTGCGAGCGCGTATTTGTTTGAAGCTTACTGGGCGTAGGAAAGACACCGTAAGAAAGCCTCTTAGGGTTTTACTTAATGATAATAAGGCGAAAAATATATTTCAGGAACAACTAGAAAGACAGTTAGGCGACCATTTAAGCGATTCCCATCCGGAAGCAGGATGGAATGATATCAAAAAGGCTGTGGAAACAGCAGTGATATCTGCTAGTAAGGTTGACCATAAGGCTAGAATGAAACCGTGGATCTCAGTAGCATCCACCGATCTGATGGATGCCCGAAAACTCATCCCACCTGGCTCTGAGCATGATGAAGAACGAAGTCAACTTAGGCGCAGACTTATGAAAAGCCTACGTAACGATCGCGAACAGTGGTGGGTGGCGAAAGCAAAAGCGATGGAAAAGGCAGCGGCGATCGGCAACAGTAGACAACTTTTCAGACTTATCAAGGAAACTGGTATTAGGAATCCTAGTGTAAGTGAGACTATCTCAGAATATGACGGGACTATTATTTATTCTCAATCCAGGAGACTGGATCGATGGGCAGAACACTTTAGGGATCAGTTCAACTGGCCTCGAGCCACTCTTCGGTTACCCACGATCTCCAGTCATCCTGAATGGCAAATCGACGTAAGTCCCCCTAGTCTTAATGAAGTTGAAAAAGCGTTAGGAAATCTGAAGCGAGGACGAGCTGCGGGTCCTGATAGACTGACCCCTGAGATATTTAAGGATGGTGGTCCAGTTTTAGCAGCTAGGTTGACTGAGATCTTAGGTAGAATCTGGGAACTGGACGTAATCCCATCCGACTGGTCTCAATCACTGATTGTCCCAATCTATAAGAAAGGACAGAAGTCTTCTTGTGACAATCACAGGGGAATAAGTCTAACTAATATAGTATCTAAAATATTGGCCTCAGTAATACTTCGACGCTTAACGAAAGCTCGTGAAGAGCAAACTCGAGAAAACCAATCTGGTTTTCGACCTGGACGTGGCTGTATAGACCACATTTTCACACTACGACAGGTCCTGGAACACAGACACACATTTAGGCGTCCTACAATAGTTGTTTTCCTGGACCTTAAGGCGGCATTTGACTCTGTGGATCGTGAGGTTCTGTGGCAGTGTCTGTCATTGAAAGGTGTACCAAAGAAGTACATTAACCTCATACAAGCTCTCTACTCAAACACCACTGGTCGAGTGAGAGCTTATGGCGAACTGTCACCGGAATTCTCTACTTCAAGTGGTGTCCGTCAGGGATGTCCACTTTCTCCATTCTTGTTTAATTTTATCATAGACATGCTCCTAGAAATAACCTTATCCTCGTCTGAATTTTCTGGAGTAGACCTTTTACCAGGTGGCTCGCTTATTGACTTAGAATATGCCGATGACATTGTCCTACTTGGTGAAGACGCTGACAAAATGCAGAGTCTTCTGACTACCCTAAGCAACAATGCAAGCATGTTCGGGATGCGGTTCTCACCCTCGAAATGCAAAATGTTGCTTCAAGATTGGGTTTCATCGGCACCTGAACTAGTGATAGGGAGTGAAGTGGTCGAACGTGTAGACCGCTTCACTTATCTTGGGAGTCTCATCAGTGCTGATGGCCTGGTGACTGACGAAATCTCGGCACGGATACAGAAGGCTCGATTGGCTTTTGCCAACCTGCGTCACTTATGGCGTAGGCGAGATATCCGTTTGCTGACTAAAGGACGAGTGTACTGCGCAGTGGTTCGCTCCGTCTTACTTTATGGCTGTGAAACATGGCCAATGAGAGTAGAAGATACTCGTCGGTTATTGGTTTTCGATCATAGGTGTCTTCGAAGCATTGCTCGTATATCGTGGGACAACCGAGTTAGCAACGCTGTTATTAGGAAACGGGTACTAGGTAAGAATGGCAGATCAATAGATGAAGTGGTGAAACTTCATCAGTTGAGGTGGTTGGGACACGTGTTGCGTATGCCTAACCACCGACTGCCTCGTCGAGCTTTGTTTTGTGGTGTAGGAATAGGTTGGAAGAAAGCTAGGGGCGGCCAGACCAAAACATGGCAGAAATCGGTGAAGTCATTGACGAGTGGACTGAGCCATGTCGGTAATTGTCGACTACCTGGTTTGGGTCCGCGAGATGATAATAATCGATGGCTAGAGACCTTGAATGACATGGCTCAAAATCGTTCGCAATGGCGCCAGTGCATTTATTCTTTGTGTTCTCTCAAATCCTAATCTTCTGGGTTCTTCAACACCTCTAGCTTTTACTTTGTAAACTTATCTCATTGAATCATACTTCGTGAATAATATCTTCTAATTCTAACGTCTACGATTACTTGTAATACCTTTACTACCTCTTCTACTATTGGATTTCAATTGACAATTATATCTCTGTGCTGATGTGGTATGGCGACATGAACTGATGTACTTACGTACGAAGTTCTACGTTGCAACTGACTGACTGACTGACAATGAAGCAGGTGCATCCGTTCTTTGTGTTCTGTCAAATCTTAATCCTCTAGATTCTTAATCACCTTTATCTTTCTCTTTTCAAGTTTATTTCACTGAATTAGACTTCTTGAATAATATTTTTGAACCTTAATCTTCTTCATTACCACTAGTACACCTATACTATCTCGACCACCATGGTATTTGAATTGACTATTGCGTCTCTGTGCGAATATGGTGTGGCAACCTGAACTTGTGTACTTGCGTACAAAGTTTTACGTTGTAAGTGAATGAAAGCCCGTATCTTTGATTCAGACTGTATCAGTAATAATTATCCTGAAGTTTTTCTATTTACTATCATTTCATCATATTTGAAATAAATGATTGATTGATATTTCTACTTGTCATTAAATGGTTGTAGGAAACCAGTTATGTATAGTTTTATGTATAACGAAATTAAGTATATTGACATTTTTGACCACTGTTCTATATATCTATCTAACGTGTCCCATCTTATATAATACTGGATTCTTCCACTTTCAATATGTGACTTTCTTACTCACAGGTTTATTAAATGAAACAAATCAGTTTACAAATTTTGAAAAGAAATTAACAATAAATATTTTTTTTAATACAAACAGTCTAAGAATGAAGAAAGATTAATTAAACAACCGACTCAAAGAGTAAAAAATCTAAATAAAATTGATAAACATATTAAAAATAAAATAAATGAGTAAGTATTTAATTGAAATAATCAATAAATACATGATTAATAATAGTCAACCCTTAATACTCATAAAAAAAAGTCTATTCCCTTTAGATAATCTACATATAAATTAAATATTATTTCATAATAAAATGAATTAAATATTTTATTACTCTCATACATTAAAGGAGTGAACTATGTGATTAAACTTCAAACTTAATAGTTTATGCATACATACAATGCACAAAATAATGATTTAAAAAGCTTTGATTTTGAATGAAATTCAACATACAATCCTGAAATAAATAAAAAGATGAAACTAATTAGTGAAAACTATCATTTCCCATTAAACTGATAATTTTCAGAAAGATAATGAATGAATATCTATGTGACTTGAACTTTCCAACCATAGATTCCAACCAACCACACGAACCCCCTAACCAAGAGGTTGTAACATCTGAACACAATTTAAGCTAAACTGTATAACTAATATTAACTGAGCTCTAAATGATGAAACAGTGAATTAATTAGTCAACACATTATTCATCTATCTATCTATCTATTTCCTACTATTGTGACTGTTCATTTTCTTATTTTACTCTTTTCTAGTCAGTCATTCCTTTTTTTTTTAATAATATTTCTTTTGTTATAAGAATTTCTGATGAAACCTTTGCAATTATATATTATGATGTTGTCATGTGATGTTTCATTTTGGAAGAGTTTCATTTACTCTTGATAAACAGATGATCATAGGCAATAATATAATAATGAGATCATCAACCGATCAAAATTAGACTACCATTAGAAACCTGAAAGCATTGGATGGCTGTTTCGTCCTGCTATGAGACTCATCAGCAAGTTTCTAATAGTGGTCTAACTTTGATCGATCCATGATTTCAAATGTGTAAGTTAACAATCTTCACAACCCCGTAATACAATATAATAATGATATTAATTGAATATTATCTATTTATAAGTCAATAACTTCAACTGATTAAAGTTTCAGTAAATTTACTGTGTTAAATTGAGAAAAAAATACCTACTTTACTTATGATCTCAACCAAATAAATCGATTATATTGAAGAGACACGACTCAATGAATGTGAAAGTTGAGAATAGGTAAATTGGAAAAAATTCCGTACACATTTTAGTTAAATCAACAAAAACCTATCTCTCATCAAATTAAAACAAAAAAACTTTCTCTTTAATATCAATACATTATCATGTACAATACAAATAAAATTGTTAAGTTCAATTCATTTTTCTGTTAATATTAGTTAAAAGTTGTATTCGTTCATTTTCAATTTATCAATATATCATATTGTGAAGATTAATTTATTGAATGCATGTCATCGTAATATTACAGTTCATTAATTCATCAGTTAGATATTTTTTTTAAAAAAAAAATTATTTACTCTGAATTTCTATCCTTTTACAAATATTATTCTTCTTCTTCAAACATTGACTAACTATACTAATAATAATAAAACAAGTTTAAAATGTACTTTATTTGATATGGTTTCTTCGAAGCATTGCTCGTTTACCGTGGGACAACCGAGTGAGCAATGCTGTCGTTAGGAAACGAGTACTAGGTAAGAATGGCAGATCAATAGATGAGGTGGTGAAACTTCATCAGTTGGGGTGGTTGGGACATGTCTTGCGTATGCCGAACCACCGACTGCCTCGACGAACTTTGTTTTGTATTGTAGGAGTAGGTTGGAAGAAAGCTAGGGGCGGCCAAACCAAAACATGGCATAAATCCATGAAGTCATTGACTAGTGGACTTAGCCATGTCGGTAATTGTCGACTACCTGGTTTGGGTCCGCGAGATGATAATAATCGATGGTTAGAGACCTTGAATGACATGGCTCAAAATCGTTCGCAATGGCGCCAGTGCATTTATTCTTTGTGTTCTCTAGAATCCTAATCTTCTGGATTCTTCAACACCCCTAGTTTCGACTCTCTAAACTTTTCTCACTGAATCATAATTCGTGAATAGTATCTTCTAATCCTAACCTCTTCGATTACTTCTAATTCCCTTACTACCTCTTCTACTATTGGATTTGAATTGACGATTACTTCTCTGTGCTGATGTGGTATGGCAACATGAACTGATGTACTTATGTACAAAGTTCTACGTTGCATCTGACTGACTGACTGGTTTCTATAAATTATCATACGTTATTTAAAAAAATATATCTTCCATATTTCGGATAAATATTACATAATTAAGTGTTACTTATATGCATACAATGAATGATGTGAAAAAGTAGTCGTTTGAAAATTTCATTTCATTGGTAAATACATTTTGATATACATTTTTATAATTTTTGAAAAAATAAGAAATTTTAATAAAATTTTATTATTTGTGATCATGACGCAGAAGTAAATGTATATATATATATATATATATATATATATATATATATATATCATTTTATTGTTCTATTCATTAATTTTATTCATGTATAGCTCTCCACATTATGCTTGTCCAGAAGTAATCAGGGTAAGGGAGTTTTCGTTTATCGATAATATACTGCATGCATATTAGAATGAACAATAATGGCATGGAAAGTCTCTCTCATTGTCAATCTGTCACCATTGTATCATTTTTCTCATTATCTTACTTATTTGTCGTTATTTGTATGGCTGAGCCTGTAATGGTACCTGACAATGCATGCATGTTCTTCACTCAAACAAAACTAAGACCTAAGATTGATAATTTTCTTATCTAGACCACTTCTGAAAACCTGGAAGCACAGAATGGTTGTTTTATCCTACTATGGGACTCCTCGGAAGCATGTGCTCAGGAATCGAAGTGGTTAAGCTACAATTTGAAATATATTTTGCAATTTATGTTCCTTGGCTTTATTCACTACTCACTTCTTATTGGATAGTCCTAAAGTAATCTGTGTTTAATCTGTCTAAAGTTATTATTATTCAAATAGAATACTTCACTTACTCTGAATTTCAGTAGGAACAAACCATCACATTTCTTTTTACAGAAGCCCATGTTCAAACCAGGATTTCAAATTACTCTCTTCACTACCTTTTTTAACAATCTAACCATATGGTTTGGCGAATGCAATGCTTTTGATTCAACAGAACTATGAGGTTGAGTGTACTGCGAAATATCCAATCTGAGTTTTACATGCAGTACTGATCAGTCAATCAGAGTCTAAAACAAAATGACTGTAATCCGTTTCTTCGTTACAAAATTAATAAATTTTGTGGTCTACTTAGACAGAATTATCATAATTAGTGCTGTAATTTAAAATGTATATAACCATGAAGAAAAATCTACAAACGACTTGGTTAGTAAAATCCTGGGTTTGGCAATTGCAGTCATAAAGATAGGTGGTGACCGCATAAAGCAATACTTTTTAACGAAAATCAAGCAGAGTGAACACGACAGGCCTTCAAAGAGCAATAAAGCTAAACAAGCAGCTTAGCTATACCAGGCATAACCATGGCCATCATATAGCTGTTTATAATGGTTCCCTATTGTGTACATAAACGTACGCATATTTTTCACATTTGATATATCTGATTTACTTTCTTTCTACTATGAATTCCATTTCAAAAGTAGTTTCAGTGACTAAAACAATATATAATCTATGTGATTTTGCTTTTACCTAAACCATGTTTCCTCCTCCACCTGGATTCCTTCTGGAAGTACTGTCGGTACCAAACCCGGATAAAGGAGGAGGGCTGGGAATTTGGTTGCTCGGACGGGACAACACTATGGAAGCCTCTCCGGCACTATAGCGTCCCTGAGAAGATAGTCAAAGTCATACGGAATGGAAGAAACTGCGAAATCGTGCACGGAGGACAGATGACAGACCGTTTCGAGGTGAAGAACGGTGTCCGGCAAGGTTGCTTTCTCTCACCCTTTATCTCTCCAGGCTATCGACTGGATTATGAAGACGTCAAAATCTGAAGGGAAGCACGGAATACAGTGATCAGCCAGTATTTAGTTGGATGATCTGGACTTTGCAAATGATCTGGCTCTTCTATCGCACACGCAACAACAAATGCAAGAGAAGACGACCAGTGTAGTGGAAGCCTCAGCAACAGCAGGTCTCAACATACATAAAGAAAATAGCAAAATTCTGCGATACAACACAATATGCGACAACCAAATCACTCTTGAGGAAGATGCCTTGGAGGACGTAAAAACCTTTACGAATCTGGGCAGCACCATCGACAATCAAGGTGGATCAGACGCAGAATTTCGAAAGTTGATGAGTGAAATGCGAAATTGATAAAAGAATTATGTTTCACTTTTTTCGAAAGAGAAAACTTCCTAGAGCCCCTCATGGGCTTCCTCCGGTACAAACCCCGGATAACGGAGCAGAGATATGCCTTGGAGCACGTACATATCTAGACAGGATCGCTGACAAGCAACGTGGATCTGATGCAGATGTGATGGCGCGGATCGACAACTCATGGGCTGCATTCTTACAATTTAAGAACATTTGGAACTCAAAAAAACTGCCAACCAACACCGAAGTTAGAATTTTCAATACGATTGTCGAACCAGTTCTACTGTACGGGGCGGAAACTTAAAGAACTACGAAAGACATCGTTCAAAAAACACAATTATTTATAAATAGTTGTCCACGCAAAATACTCCGCATTCGTTGGCCAGACACAATCAGCACATTGACGCACATTGAGGAAAGCACCCATCTGCATCACAAAACAAGCCTTTACTTGAAACCTTCAAGGTCAAAGGAAAAGAGGAAAACCAAGAAACACATTACTTTGAGAAGTGAAGGCATACATGAGAAAAATGAACAAAAATTGGACGCAACTGAAAAGGCAAGCCCAGAATTCATTGTGTTCAATATCATCTGTGATGTAAAATATAACAAGTCACTTTAAACCTGTTATTTTTACAAATCAAAAGACAGTTTACTTCCATTAGTTGCTATTCTCTATGTCAAAAGTATTTAGACTTTGCAATGTCTTGGTTAAAAGTGGTTGACAGGAAGCCCTAAACCTACGTTTATTGCTATTTTTCACTCGTTAATAAGGTGTATCTTTAATCTCAAGTCATCTGATGCTCTGTAACTCATTTGATTCCTTCACCAAGCCTCGTAAGAGTTATTCATACATTGACTGATCTCCAATAGGACTGAGATGTTTCTTTGACCAGTGGTCACATGGAAACTTGGACGACAGAATTTGATTAGCACTCTAAAACGACTGGATATACATGATACTAGTCACTAGTCAGGAATCAGTCAATTCTAAGTAATTGACTTTTGTTTCACGTTGATTTTCTGACAACTCATTCATAGTTTTGTTCAAAATATTTCCTAGTCGATATGTTTGGATTGTTTTAAGAAATAAACTAATCACGTAAGATAATTCAGTTATGCTGTAGTTAAGCAAGATACTACAAAATGCGGGCAATAATTCTATGACTAAAATTATAAGTAACTAAGCAAATAAATCAGGAAGACGGATAGAATTTCCATGATAATAATGGAATTAAGGAGTTTACGAATGAGATAAGAATATTAATGGATGTCTTAATACATCACAGAATCATATTATTTATCATGAATCACTATATACTCAGCATCGATTAATTCAATACATGCAATTAAACGATACCATCTAGGCACTTACATAAGACTTCACCTAGTCTGAAAGATCACCTACTAACTGGTTATTAACATCATTCTATCACATTGTTACATTCATTTCATCCTATTAGAATTGTATATAGAAATGTAGAATCATGATACATTTTCACAACTCACAGTGAATACGTAAAAGACACTGATACATGTGGAAAATATACTACTCATTTAGTTATTGATTTTGTTCCTGACACTAAAAATCAAACAGTCATTAGGCTGAATAAAAACTAAATTTAAACAAAAATGTAATTTTACCCTTTTTTTTAACTCGTCAATCTTATAACTGTAAAGCATTCTAAATGTATTATCTGAAAAAAATTGCGAATAGTTTAAAAAAAAATGGTTGGATAGTTTGATTTAACATAAATTTGTATGAATTTGAAATTTCTAGTATTCATTTTACGCTTATAAATTATTTTGTATTTATGAATGATATTACCGCATTCATCTATTTGAAAAGTAAAAATAATAATAATAAATTAAAGGAATTCCCAATTGTAATTTCACTCAGAATATGATTGATTACCTGACTGACTGGCTGAATGAATGCAGATTCGAGAAATCGCCCTAAATTAACTCACAACAGGTTTCTAGTGGTAGTTTAACAATGATTAATTGATGATTTCAAATGTGTAAAAACACTTAACTCCATAACTTTAACTAAAAAATGTCGTAAAATGTACTCACTAGTGACTAGCTTCGTGAGAAAATTCTCGGTGTTCTAGTTGAGAAGACGTGACCCGTAGAGTTCAACACTGTCGGGTAGTAGGCAGTAACTAGTAAACAAAATTGAGTGAGGTCGCGCTAAATCCATAGATCAATCAGAGTTAGACATTAACACCACTGGATGCCTACTCAGTGGTCCAAAGGTTAGGCGTTCGCACACAATACCGAAGGTCCCGGATTCGAATCCTACGAGGTGCAGGAGTCGTGGATGCGCACTGCCACTGATGAGTCCCATAACAGAAAGAAACGGTCATTCAGTGCTTCCAGGTTTCTAATAGTGGTCTAAAAACGATTAACTGATTGATGATTTCAAATGTGCGAAAAAAACACAAAACCTCCATAACTCTATTTGCAAATATAAATTAAATTCAAACAACACCAAGAAAAAACAAATGACTGGTCAACTTCCTTTTACTTTTTAATATACACGTTATTGTTGTTGTTGTTGTTGTTGTTGTATTCAAATACGTTGAAGATATAGTGTTTTCAAATTCACTAGCCAACATTCTAAATTGAATACAAATTTTCATTAGTTTTATTTTATTTTTTTCAATTTTTTTTTGTTACATTATACTCTTTCATCACATATCATGTTATATATAGGATACACTTACAATTTGTTGTCATTCTCTCTCTCTCTGTTGTGTATTTTGTGTTGTGTTCGTTTTTGTTTCAACACTAGAGTTATTCATTCTATTCAGAATATTATTAGTGATAATTACAGCTTTATATGTGTAATGTGGATGTGTTTTTTTTTATTTTTAAATTTTCAGGGTGAAAAATACGATGGACGTATGGCAGATGTTTGGTCATGTGGAGTGATTTTATATGCTCTTCTAGTGGTAAGTTCCTCATGATGTTTGTGTGTGTGTGTGTATGTGTATTATCTTTGGTGTATTAAATGCTACAAGTGTCAAGTTTCAATGTCCTACATACATTTGACAAACAATCAGTAAATTTTTGTCTATAATTTTTTCATATTCCCTTACGGATATGACACTCACGTTTATTCATAAATTTTTCAATTAGAGTTATGGAGATTAGTGTTTTTACACATATGAAATCATCAATCAATCATTGTTAGACCATTGTTAGAAACCTGGAAGCACTGAACGGTCGTTTTTTCCTGGTATGGGACTCATCAGTGGCAGTGCGCATCCACGACTACTGCACCTCGCAGGATTCGAACCTGGGACCTTCGGTCTTGTGCGCGACCTCACCCATTTTTGTTTACTAGTTACTGCCTACACCCGACAGTGTTGAACTCCACTGGTCATATTCATAAATTACTCTTCGCACATTGATAACTTCAGTTATACCTGTATACTCATATTTTAGCAGTTTCCAGAATTACATTGTCACCTGTAAATTAATTGTAATGTGTTAGTGTATAAAGGATAAAACTAATTAATGTGTAACTTCAGACGTCTATGCACCAATGCAAAAATAATTTGAGTATAAGTCACTGTTGGCAGCACATGTGCGAAAAATCTGTTTGGTTCTTATCTATCATCCATATCAATCTAGATTGTTTTACAGTCAGTCGTACTGGACTATGAACAATTTTATTCTTTACGAATTATATAATGAGTGTTTTTTCGTAATAATCTCTTGTGTCCACAAGAATGTATATACTATTTCTAAAATGGATACAGTTAACGATGTCCATCATATACAATACAAAAGTTTCATATTTCTCTTATTCAGATTGCTCAAACGTACTGAAAAATATTTCTTGATTATCAGTGTTTCATCGCTTCACAACCACTGATATCTCAAGTGTGTTAATATTTTAAAGTGTCCAACGTGTCTTTATCATTTATCTATTAACGTTGACAATACATCAGAGAGATATTTATCTATGACAAAGCATTATTTTAGAATAAATTTTAGTTGTAGTCAATCAACACACCGACTACATGATTTTAAACTTTCTTGTTAATTTTTTTTTTTAATCTAGGTTTAGATATTTTATAAACTTGCTTGTTGTCATTTAGTGTGATAGTCAAAACTGATGTCTAATTGATTCTGAGTACTTCGTATTGATGTTTTATCAACTGTTGTATATCACCAATCCGATGATAATAGAGTTATTCTGAATACAATGATTTTTAAAAAAAAATTAAATTGTCTAAAAAGTTTCTTATAAGCTATTGTTCAAAAACAGACTATTTTATGATGATTAGAAACTTGTTTTATCCAAGTAGAAAATAACACAACATAGAACTTTTGAAATCAATGTATTAGTCTTAAATATGCTTAATATTCAGTGGCTCTAAAGTGAGCATCGATTTCTTTCTATTCTTGACAGTTTAAAGATTACAGCTAAATAATCTAGAGTGTGCTTACTTTTTATTCATTGAAACGTTTAAATTTACACCACATTATGTAAATAATTACTAACTTACATTTGTACAAACAACTTCAATGTCAGACAGAATATTATTTTTTCTATTATTAATCGAAAATAACATGAGTTTTTTTTTAAATCTCAAGGACGGTATAAGTAATGATACAAGAGACAAAGCAATAGTCTATTGAGTTTTATATGACTTATAACGTCACTCTTCAATAATCAATCATTTGTTGTTAGTAATTAGTTCAGTTTCATGATCATGATTGATTATTTTGAAGGGAAATGTGAATTTTAGTCATTTAATATTTTTTTTTTTTGAAATCTGTTCAATTTTAGAATTGAAAAGTAATTTTATGAGTAAATTATCATTTCATTATCTACCTTAATAGATCATATTTTTCATTTGTATTAGTTGGTTGAATTGTTTTTGCTGTAGCCAACAATAGAAACATTCACATGCTTTTTCGTAAATCATTTGAACAGTAACCAGTAGTTAATAGTTATTTATGTATGTATGTAGATTCAGTCAATATATTCTAAGTGGTTACCATCATATTCTATTTCTCTCCTCTCAAAAAAATTATAGTAGCATAATTTTATAGCTAAAATAATGCAGTATGTATTAGTTTTAGAGTAGAGTAATTGATACATGTGAAATAAGCATTACGGAAGCTATATTTATCACGTGTTTAAAAAAGTTTTAATCAATTTCATTCTTTCTGTAACTGCTAACACTCATATATCCATCTGAAATTTATTTATTGGGTTCCAATCTTGCTCTCTTTACGTTCTTATTTACACCTGTTACCCTTCGTGGAACATGCCCCCCACTAGGATTCTCCAACCAACTCTTCTCTAGTCCTTCCTTTCCAGTTCATTCGTTTTGTTTCTCTTCATTTCTCTGCTAATTGCGTCCCTTGTTCTACCCCTTTTCCTCTGATCTTATGGATTCCAAATGAGGACTTGCTTCGTGATACAGTTAGGTGCTTTCCTCATTGTGTGTCCTGCCCACCCCCAGCGCTTCTTCCTCATTTCTTCTTCAGCTGGAATCTGGTTTGTTCTCTACATCAGTAAGTTGTTGTTGATGGCATCTAGCCGACGGATCCGAAGTATTCAGCGTAGACAATCGTTCATAAACACTTTTATCTTCCGGATGGTGGCTTTCATAGTTCTTTAAGTTTCCAACCTGTACAGTAGAACTGTCTTAACATTTATATTGAAAATTCTGACTTTGGTGTTGGTTGACAGTTGTTTTGAGTCCTAGAAATACTGTCCTTACTCTTCCAATTCGTGTCTTTGACTCTGCATCACATCCATCTTGGTCATCAGTGATGCTGCCGAGGTATGTAAACGTTTCTGAAGCTTCTCTATCAAGTGTGATTTGGTTGGTGTATGGTGTGTTATAATATCTAGGAATCTTGTTTTTTCTCTTGTATATGTTGAAACCTACTGTTGCAGAAGCTTCTCCCACGCTGACCGTGTCCATCTGCATTTGTCACTTTGTGTGGGACAGAAGTTCTAGGTCAACTGCGAAGTCAAAATCGTCTAGCTATAACTCAGCGCTTCACTGTTTCCCTTGTTTCCCCTCATGTGTTGACATCTTCATATTCTGGTCTACCACCGGAAGAAAAAGAAAGGGTAAGAACAAGCAACCTTTGTCTGACATTTTGATCGACTCAGCGAGCTAACCTCTACTTACGATTTGCAGTGTAGTCCATCATAAGAACTCTGTACGTTTTTGACTGTCTTATCAGGCACATCACAGTGTGGAAGAAGACTCCATAGTGTCTTTCTGTCAACGCTATCGAATGCTTTCTCTCAGTAAATGAAGTTGATATGTAGTTGTGAGTTTCATTCATTTGATTGTTTCACATAATCCGTAGTGTGGCGTTTAATTTGTTCTGTACACAATCGATCAATCGTTGCGGAATCCAACCTATGGAGTGTCCTTTTGTTCAGTCTGCGACTAATGAGTCTCATTTATTCCAAGTACCACCAGATTGTATCTTTTCATTTCCGCAGAAACTTGAATTATTCACTCGATCGCCCACATTGTGAAAGTATTCTATATACCTATATTAGTAGTTGCAACTTTAAAACACCCAGCCCCTTTATTTTCTATATTGCACTAATTCTTGTCATATTCTTTCGATTATCAATGAAGTGATTATGAATAATCACTTAACTATTCACTATTTTATATTCTTTAGATTACTATATTATATTCTGAGTTTAATTACATATATTTTCTAGATTACAGCAATGAAATTGACTAATTTCCAGTTTATATATACTAGAAAAATTAAATGTATCATAAACTAACTTTCATATTCTATCCTAAAGTTTTATGAAAAGCTATTTTATTAGCGTTTATTTTATGGTTTCATACAAGATCAATACATTTTAATGAAGATATTGTTGTAGAAATGTTAATCATTCCATCCTGTCATGTAAATATGTCGTGTCTGTACATAGCTCAGTTGGTGCCACTTGTGCAACTATATTAAAGAGATATTGAATAACAACCATTATTTTTGTCATATCTGCCTTATCGACCTGTTGATATTTTCTTCGCTAATAAATTTCAGACACTTAAATCATAGCTTAAAATGACTAAGAACCAATTTTTTTTTTGGTTTGTTTATATGCATTACTCTGGACCTATTTATATACCTAGAAATAACTTCATGCTTCAAAAATTTTACAAAATATCGAACAGCCACCTTTATAATAGGTTCTCACTAATGTAGATTGGAATATAATAAGCATAGTTCACTTATGGGAATTCATTGGGAATCCTTTGTATAAAAAGTTTCTGTTTAAAAAGATTCAATATTTCTAATAGCATTTTGTGCTAGGTATATCACTATGTTGCCCGTGAAATTCGGAAAGCTTGTACTCCATATCTATTTGTTATATCCAGAAACACTGAAAATCAATGATTCCTTCGAATTCTATTTATATTCCATTAATATTTTGTTAGATTTAAAAAAAACGATTTGTCACTATTTTCCAGAATACGAAACCGGGACCTCCAATATTGTGCGCGAACGCCTAACTTCTGCAGTTCGACCCTGTCTGGTGTAGGCAGTAACTACCATACAAAAATGGATGAGGTCTCGCAGAATTCCTAGATCAATCAGAGTTAGACATTAACACCACTGGATGCTGACTCAGCGGTCCAGAAGTTAGGCGTTCGCTCACAAGACCAGAGGTCCCGAGTTCGTATCCTGTGAGGTGCAGGAGTCGTGGGTGTGCACTGCTGATGAGCCCCGTCTTCCAATGCTTCCAGGTTTCTAATAGTAGTCTAAAAATGATTGATTGGTGACTTCAAATGTGTAAAAACACTAATCTTCATAACTCTAATTGAAAATATAAATTTGTACATATGTGTACATTCTTTGTTTTCACATGTAAAAAGCATTGAGGAAATTTACACTTCATGTTTAACTGTGGTTAAAACAACATGTCAACTTTATTTATATTCTTGTCCAAATTGTGTACGTGACTTATTTTGCGGTTGTTCTTTGTTTGTATTTGTTGAAATAAAAATAAATTCACATTTATATTATTGGTTTATATATACGTATGTGTCCTTGTGCCTAATTCCTATTATACGCTTTCTTTATTTGGTCATTTTATCATTGACTTTGTACTACATTTTTACGTCTTACATTAATATTATTGTTATTATTATTACTATTATTATTATTTTCTTTCACTAGGGTGCACTACCATTTGATGATGATAATTTAAGAAATTTATTAGAAAAAGTTAAAAAAGGCGTATTTCACATACCAGCATTTGTTTCAACTGATTGTCAGTCATTATTAAGATCTATGATTGAAGTGGATACACGTAAACGTATTACGGTAAGTTTAGTTGATTCTTTTTTTTCTTCTTTACTTGTTCAGTTAACAAAAAGAAAAAAAGGCAAACAAACAAAAAAAAGACACTTATATTTCTATTTCGACATTTGAACTTAATTTTTCTCTTTTGAATTAAGTTGAAATCTTACTTGACATTTTATAGTTTTTTTTCTGTGAATTTAAAAGAAATAATTAATGTTGACAGTTTTCATGGTCTAATAATAATTTATCGTTTGTTGTGTGTATCGTGTATGATCGATCAATAGAATAATATGAAAATATAATCAGTGAATGAATTGTATATGATATGGTTGATAAATGCGTATTTCCCAAGTTTCGGTATTTATTAGAAAGAGATAATGAAAGACGACTGGTAGTTAGGTATGTGAAAAGAATTACTAGAAGTATCCTGATTCGGTACTGTGATATCGTAAGTTTTGGGAATAAATTGGATATTTACTATTGAACTGACCACTTACTTTACCTACATTTATGAATCAAATTTTCCATAGTTATTTAATTGTCGATTTAGTAACTATATTGGTCAATCTTCCTGTTAGTTACTCTGGCAAACTACGTATTGGAACTTTTAATTTTCGAACTTTTTGTCAAATAGAACGCTCTGATATAGTAATAATAATGACTGGTGACTTAAATGCTCAAGTAGGTATGCTAACTGAAAAGGAAAAAACACATTGTAATCAGTCATCGGTGGAGAGGTTATATTGAAAACTGCCGCTAATCCTGGAGCACTTGTTTTTAGATTTAGTGCGAGCGCGCATTTGTTGGCAGCCTACTGCACATAGAAAAGACACTGCGAAGAGATCTCCTGGTGTTCTACTTAATGATAAAATAGCTAAGAATATATTTTAGGAACCAAAAAAAACAGGCAATGATTTAATTGATACCCACCCTGAGGAAGCTTGGAATAATATCCAAAAAGCTGTGGAAACATTAGTGATACTTGCTAGTAAGGTAAACCATAAGGTTAGATGGAAACGGTAGATCTCAATTTCATCTACCGAGACGACAGACGCTCGGAAACTCATCCCGTCGGACTCTGAACATGACGAAGAGCGAAGTCAGCTTAGGCGCAGGCTGTTGTGAAGTCTATGCAATGATCGCGGACAGTGGTGGGTAGCGAAAGCAAGAGAGATGGAAAAAGCAACAGTAGACAACTATTCAGAATTATCAAGGAAACTGGAATTAGGAGTCTGACTGTAAGTAAGACTATCTCGGAAAAGCATGTGCTTATTATTCGTTCTCACTCCAGGATATTGGATCAATGGGTAGAACACTTTAGGGATCAGTTCGATTGACCTTCAACTACACTTTGGTTGCCAATGATCTCCTGTCAACCTGAATGGCAAATCGACGTAAGTCCTCCGAATTTTTACAAAAATGAGAAAGCTGTAGGGAATCTAATGCGAGAGAAAGAAGCGGGTCCTAATAGAATAACTCCTGAGATTTTTAAGGTTGGTGGTCGAGTTTTAGAAGTTAGATTTACTGATATCTTAGGTAGAATTCGGGAACTGGACGTAATCCCTTCCGACTGGCTTCCATCACTGATTCTTCCAATTTATCACAAAAAAATCAGTTTACTAATTCAGTGTATAAAATGTTAGCCTCGATAATACTTTGACACCTAACTGGAACTCATGAAGCTCAGACTCGAAAAACAAGGCTAATTTCAGACCTGGACGCGACTGTGTAGACCATATATTCACACTAGGACAAGTTCCAGAAACGGACAGACATTTAGGCGTCCGACAATAATTGTATTCCTAGACCTTAAAGCGGCATTTGACTCTGTCGATTGTGATGTTCTATAGCAGTGTCTGTCATCGGAGAAGAACGTTAACCTCATACAAGCTCTGTACTCGCACACCACTGGTCGAGTGGGAGCTTATGGCTAACTGTCATCAGAATTGATTACTTCATGTGGTGTTCGTTAGGGCTGTCCACTTTCTCCATTCTTGTTTAAATTTTTAATTAACGTGCTTTTAGATGCATCATCTGACTTTTCAGGAGTTGAACTTTTATCAGGAGATTTACTCGTTGATTTAGAATGTACCGAAAACACTGTTTTACTTGATGAAGACACTGACAAAATCATGTTCATGTTACGTTGTTTCGCTTGTATTGCAACCTTCATGATACTGCATCAGACATTTTATGATAAACAGGATAAAGGTTACTAATTCGCGTACTTCGTTGTAGTTGAACGTCTTTTCAACCAAATTCATCCAGGAAAATCAGTTCAGAAGCTCAGAAATATACAGACTAATACTGAACTTTTTTAAATTATCTTTTTCCTTAAACACTCTTCTGAAGAACTGTTGCTGTTAAATTTTAAAAACTTTGAATTATATCATTTATGCACTATTTATGCTGTTCGTTAATCATTACTGTTAGCATACTTTCGTTTCGATTTTATTCATTTAATAACTCTTCATTCATTCCCCTCTTTTTCTCAATAATACATTGAACATTTTATTCTCGTCAATGTTTACTTACATTAAAGACGTTGATTGTTTTCTATAGGGTTATTTATCGTTCGTTTCATCAGTACTCGACAATATAGGTCTTGTCATGCCTACCTTGTCTCTTGTTCTTCTCTAACTATTCATTTTTTTGTCTTTCCATGTATTAAGCGTATAAATGAAATCGAACAAAGTTTAACAAGTATTGCACATTCATTCACTGCTATAACGCATCTTCATGATTTTAATATTATATTTCTTTTGTTAAACTTGACTAGTTTAACATACTAAATTTTGTTAAACAAATGACCTTTACTTCGGTGCATTAAGTGTACACCATTTATGTTTCTTTTTTTTGATTATACACAACACATGTCCGAACCATCTGAACTGATGAAGTTTCAGTACTTTATCTATTGATCTGTCATCCTTACCTAGAAACCAGTAAGCAATGTTGTCGCTAGGAGACTAGTCCTAGGTTAAGGATGGCAGGTCACTAGATGAAGTATTGAAACTTTATCAGTTGAGGTAGTTAGGACATGTGTCGCGTATGCCTAACCACCGACTGCCTCGTCCAGCTATGCTTTGCGATGTAAGGTTAGGTTGGAAGGAAGTAAGTAGGAAAGTATGGCAGAAATCCATAAAGTCACTGACAAGTGGACGGAGTCATGCCGGTAGGTGTCGACTACTTGGTTGGGGTCCGCGGGATGATAGTAATCGATGGTTAGCCAACTCGAACGATACTACTCAAAACTGTTTGCAATCTCGCAGGCACGTTCATTCTTTGTGTTCTCTAAAATCCTAACCTTCTGAATTGCCCATCGCCGTTATTTCTTTCTTTTTAAGTTTATTTCACTAGATTCTACTTCTTGAATAATATTGTCGAACCCTAATTTCTCTGATTACTGACTATACTTCCACTACCTCTACTACTATGGGATTTGAAGTGGCAGTTGCGTCTCTATGCTAATGTAGTATGGCAACTTGAACTGATGTACGTACATACGAAGTTCTAGATCGTAACTAACTGACTGACTGACTTTATGATAATACTCTCTTTTTGCTGTAGAAATGGGTTTTCGATAAATCCTCTCACTTATTGTTTATAGAATTACATCTAATGAGTTCAGCTAAAGGGCGAGTGTACTGTGCAGTACTTCGCTCCGTCTTACTTTATGGCTGTGAAACATGGCCAGTAAGAGTAGAAGATATTCGTAGGTTACTGGTTTTCGATCATAGATGTCTTCGAAGCATTGCTCGTATATCATAGGACACCCGGATGAGCAACGCTGTTATTAGGAATCGGGTGCTAGGTAAGACTGGCAGATCAATAGATAAAGTAATGAAACTTCATCAGTTGAGGTGTTTGGGACATGTGTTACGAATGCCTAACCACCAACTGCCTCGGCCAGACCAAAACATGGCAGAAATGCATGAAGTCATTGACAAGTGGACTGAGCCATGTCGGTAGTTGTCGACTACCTGGTTGGGGTCTGTGAGATGATAATAATCGATGGTTAGAGTCCTTGAATGACATGGCTCAAAATCGTTCGCAATAGCGCCGGTGCATTTATTCTTTGTGTCCTTTCAAATCCTAATCTTCTAGATTCTTCAACACCTCTAGTTTTGTCTTTGTAAACTTATCTCACTGAATCATACTTCTTGAATAATATCTTCTAATCCTAACCTCTCCGACTACTTGTAATACCTTTACTACCTCTACTACTATTGGATTTGAATTGACAATTATATCTCTGTGCTGATGTGGTGTGGCAACATGAACTGATGTACTTACGTACGAAGTTCTACGTTGTATCTGACTGACTGAATGAATTCAGCTTGTTAACAGTTTTATAATTTGAAAAGATTTCTCGAATTTTGTGAATTACATCTGTACAGCATACACGTAATAGTTCAATTATCACAACAAATTGATGGATTTCTTATCATCGCTTTATCAATTGTTTTTTTTTTTGCCAAAAAGTCGAAAATTTTGAATAAAATTTCTTTATTCTGGTAATGATTACTACGCTAAATTTAAGCTTCTTCTCTCGTTTGGCATAATGATTTTAGAAATCTTGAATACTTCAATTAGAAACATGTCTAGATTTCAACGAATGGTATATGAAACATGTTGACATTTGCGTTAATTATCAAGTTCTATTAAATTATGTTTATTAAACAAAACTGGGCTTATTTTATCGATCCAAAGTGTAAAATCTTGTCGTTATATTTTAGTCTCCCTTTCAACTACACATACAACATATTCATTTTTTATCGGAAAGTTGTATGTGTAAAAAGAAAACTGTTGAAATGATCATTGTAGGTGTTAAAATTTCGTGTTTGGTTAGTGATAATCTTCATTCTACTTGAATAAATTTAAACTTATTGAATAATTCACATTTAGATAATCAAGGTTATGACTGAAGCTGATCAAATTTATTAGATTATAATCTTTATATTCTGTGGACTATGAAATTTCGACCAACAACTACTAGGATCAGGCTACTACGGATGTATTATTTTATAAAACAGAGACAATTGTCTTTTAACTAGTGACTAATAATAATAATAATAACATGATGAAGTGTTATCACTTTTTCTAAAATACTTTACACATTTAACTTATTTTATATCCTTCAATTGATGACTTAAATTATGTGTGTGTTTTTTTTCTCAAGAAGCAAATTATGTAATATTTCTGTATGACTGAAGCTGATCAAATTTATTAGATTATAATCTTTATATTCTGTGGACTATGAAATTTCGACAGAAACCAATATGTAGTATTGTGATGATCATCTGTGAGAATTTGTTTTACGGTTTATTTAAATATTTTTAAGAAGTCCTGAACTTTAGGCTCAAAATATATTTGTTATTCAATAGTTTTCTAATTGACATGACCAACTTCTTTTTGCTTGTCATTTTTTTCATAAGTTCATGATAACCTATCTATCACAGGAACATAGGCAGTTTTTGTTCAGATACATTTTTAAAACCTTAAACACATCAGATCGATTCCTACTCTGTATATTTAATCTTATAAATATACTACTATATCTTAATAAATATTTGTTAACAGTTTATTAATTAATAGACAAAAAGTGACATAGTATAATCAAGTGGTAATCATTCAATGAACTAAAATAGGAAATATTGATTATGAATCAAGCAATGAACTGCCCTGATATTTTTGAAATCAGATTTCTTGCTAGTGTGTGAAGAGGATGTCGATTATTGATTGGATACTTTTGAATTTTTTTCGTATTTACCCCTAAAAAGTCTCTTGTTAATCTTGCAATGTCTTAAGTGTGTTTAAATAAAAACTTTTATTTAAAATGTTTTTTATATTTTTGAATTTTTTTCTTTTTTTTAAATAGTTGAAGGAGGTGCTAGAACATAAATGGGTCATTGGGTGAGTTACCTTTGTTTATTGTTTTTTATTACTACTAGTACCTATTATTATTATTATTATTATTATTATTATTATTATTATTATTATATTGTCATATTATATATTATATATATATTTATTTGTTCTTAATTCCTAATTGTTAATTTAATTATATTTAATTCGCATAGAATATTTTATAATTTGACCTTAATAAATAAATACTTAAAACTATGACATTAGTTTTCATCATCAAGCCAAAAATTCTTTAAAACTTGTGAATCTTCTAATCTTCAAATAAATATTAAAAATATCTAAGTACATTCAGAGATTTTTTTTCAGGTTTAAAGATAGATTGAGTAACTGAAGCCTTTCTTGAATATTACTTACTCATAATCATGTTTAATTGTATTTCATGTATGTGTAAGTGCTTGAATAATCCGTGGTGGGGTGGGGTGGGGGTTGATGTTCATCACTGCAAATGATCAATCTGTCTTGTGACATACATTCACATCTCATATCATTTATACACAAGTTTAACTCATCTTCATCACATTACAAATTGCACTTGTTCTCAAACTTATTAAAATACCAATACACAATACACAATTCATGCCTCAGAAACAAATCACATTTGACATAACCTAATCATAATTCAACTTATTTTTTGATTAAATTCTGCATTGTTTTCAATGTACCATTTTAAACTTGTGTTCATTCAACTAGTTTATTTATTTTTTATTTTCTGAAGAAACAACTTATTACATCATGTCGCAAAATTTTCAGAGAAATTAATTCTCACCACATTTCTTTTTTTCTTCAAAATAATCATATGTTGATGATAGTTTCAGTAGAATTACTTCTTAAATGTAACAAATATAAATATAATAATTTTTAACTTTGACTAGTACACTTCATCTTGCAGTTTGATAATATCAGCGAACAAAAATGAAACATCAAAATGTATTACTGTGGAGTATTTTTTTTGTTGTTCTTATTTGCTAAGATAAACACAGAAAAAAAAACAGTGTACATTATGGCGTAGATTTTTATACTGACTTCATAAAAATATATATATAAAACCGTATGTCAGAGAGATTTCTAGATCGTGTATATAAAAACCAAAAGAATTGTAGATCAATACATATTATCAATGATTGTGAAAAATAGTTATGAAATAATGTAAAAGTTTGATTAAATATGTTACCTCCCCTTGAAATAAAATTAATTGAAATAGAAACCAATTATTGACTAATTGTTGAGCTTTTAGAAGAGCAATAAATCTTTATTACTAAAATAAGGTCATTTTTTTAACTGGAACTATGTGAAACGTCATTATCTTGATAAATAACAAGTTTAAAAGTTCAATCTATAAAACACATTTTATATTCTTCTTTGATATTCAGTTAGAGTTTACTTTCAGTTATACTTTTGTAATTAACGGTTGATCCTTATTATTCCAGACTGTATATATAGAGAGATTAGCTTTTAAGTATATTTTTTCAGTAGGAAATAATCTCTGTTATCAAAATGATCTGTCAGAAATTTGTTTGTTTATACGTAAAGACTGTGATAGTAGAGTTTACCTTGTATACTTTTTGAAATCATGAATCGACCAATGTTAAGCCATCATTAAAAACGTGGAAGCACTGGACAGCCGTTTCGTCCAGTTATGGGACTCATCAGCAGTGTGCGTCCACCACTAACGATGTTAATGTTTAACTTTGATCAATCCACGGTCTTGCGCAACCTCATTCACTGTCTTCAGTGAGCACTGTTTCATACCCGAACATGGTTGAACTCCACTGATCAGAACTCACTAGAACTCGGAGAAACTTACTCACGTAGCTAGTCATTAGTTAGCAAATGATAATCTATATGATAGGGTTATAGAGATTGTTGAGTTATAGTGGTTATAGTGGAGGTCCTGTGTTCGAGTCCCACGAGTTCCATGAGCCGTGGATGTGCACTTCTGATGTGCCCCATACCACGATAGATAGGCCCTCCAGTACTTCCAGGTTTCTAATGATAGCCGAACATTGATCGATTCATGACTTAAAAAGTAACTCAACAATCTCCTCAACCCTATCATTCTTGTTTATTACAAACAGCTTTCCCTATATATTGGAAATTGTTAGAATAAATTTTAACCACCTGAAAAAAACTTTGATAAGCTTGTAATATCAGCATTCATATATCATCAAGATGAAAAGAATAAATCAGATGTAACAATAGTTGGAAAGATTATTTCTGGTTGAATGGTTTTGCAAAATATATCTTTCTACTTCTTTTTTTCTCTATAAGTTTCAATGTTCGTCCAAGCATATTTATGTAATTTTCTACTTCTGAATGACTATATATATAGTTTCTAATGACTGGTCTAATTTACCAGAATATATATGCCACCCTAATGAATGTTGTTTATAGTAAGACAAGTAAATTATATAGTGAGATACTGTGAAGTTTTTCAGTCAACAATTTAATAAAACCACCAACAACATAATCATTAGTATCGTCAAACAGAATTACTAATGTCAGACAAACATTCATAGACGAATCTTTCGATTTGTATTTCAATTACAGTGTGATTATATTTCATAAAGTTTTCTAGAGTCTAGTCTAGGATTATTAGCATGAGATGTTTGTGAAATTTTTTTCAATTCATTCACTAGGTTTAACTGGAAAACTAGTGTGGTTATATTAAAAGATTAGTCCGAAACAGAGACGTTCACTATTTTAGAAACCCTAATTGCACTTCAGTTTTTTCGTTGTGATACATGACTTTTTGGCTACAGTCAAGTTATAGTCTCGACTGGAAATCTAAAATCAATGTTTTGAGTCTACTCAATTAGACATGCTTGAATTTAAGGAACCAAACATTCTAGAAATAAAAGAAACAATCGCTTGATCTAGTCATATTACTTTTCAGTTGTTTAGTTTTGTTTGAGTAATACTAATTCTCAGCCAGGCTATCACATCAATTCTCAATTTCTCTTAATATTTACACAATTTTATTTAATTTCTACTGCCACTTACAATTCAAATCGTTTAGCAACTAATTAGATCTACTGATCCAGTGTTTTTTTCGGCAAAAGTTGTTGGTACACATAGAACTGGGACTTGAATTAGAGTTATAGACGCTGTAACTATGCTGCTTCGAACTCAGAATTGTCGATCATTTGATACATTCTAATGTAATCTTAAGCATCGAATTGTGCTAAACTCTGAAAAAAATTTGTTGGGGACATTAGATTCCCAGAATCCACTTGGAAAAAGTCCTATTTTTCGCACATAAGCTGCTTAGTTGACCTTCACTTACATTTCCCACTCGGAAAATTCTTGACTGTCATTGGCTAATGGATTATTTTAGTACGCTATTTGTAGTTCTCACCAAGGACGTTCCCATCATTGTATAACTAAGCTTGAATTATGTGCTTAGCAACCTGGTATTTTCTGAGTGCCTGTAGAATACATTCTCTACTCCTTATCCAGACTTGTTGATCTAATTAGCCGGGGGCTGGGACTATCGGATTAGAATAGCCTATCGTGTCACTACGTCTTACATATTTGTTCCGTTTACCGAGTAAGATGAAGTCGTAATAGTTTCGAGCATATTAAAATTACTTTTCAAAGTAAACGTTTAGATGTTGAGCATCTCCAAAACCTACTCACTATATTTAGATTTTATATACAACGAGATTTTTTGTATCCCATAAGCTATAATGCTTGAATTCAGTTTTAGTTTAAATAGAAATAGTCAATAAATCATAATTGTTTCCACCATAATACGTTCCTATAAATATCTAAACTTTTGCGTTCAAAGATTTTTTCACAAAATTACCAATGATATCTCTCTTTGGTTAGTCAATCTATAATTCACTGAATGTTGAATGATAAACACGAATAATTGTAATTTTATTTTCCATACTGGAAGAACATATGTTGAAGCAACAGAGTTCTAAGTGATGACTAACGTTTACGTAATACATATATTCAAAACATTTAATCAGTATTTAAGCAATTTTATTCAATGAAGTATTTACTGTGTAAACTATTGGTTGCATAGCATTTTGATGATTGACACTTCTAAGCTTCAGTAACTATTGATTTTAAACTCTCTTTGATGTTGTTCTATTTCATGCATCATAGTACTAGGATCAGGCTACTACGGATGTATTATTTTATAAAACAGAGACAATTGTCTTTTAACTAGTGACTAATAATAATAATAATAACATGATGAAGTGTTATCACTTTTTCTAAAATACTTTACACATTTAACTTATTTTATATCCTTCAATTGATGACCTTTTTTAAGAAGCAAATTATGTAATATTTATATATGTATGTATATATATATATGTTTGTTATGCAAATCATTGACCGTTTTAGTTTGTTTTTTTTTCTTTCTAAACAGCTGTTTTTTTTAAGCAGATAATAATAATAATAAAAACATGTAAAACTGTCGCAAGTAATATTTATGCATAGGGTTGTGAAATAAATGTTAATCAAAAAAAAATAAAAGTCAACCTACCTTTCATTCTCTCAGCATGGGGGATATGACTTTAAGTTGTGTTGCTTTCTTTTTTTTTCTTTTATTCTCCTCATTCATATTTTTTTTTAATAACGATTTCTTTTTTTTCAACAACTAAAATAGAAAAAACAAAACCATTACATTTTTGTTTTACATTTTTGTTTTGTGTACAACAACAACAAAATACACTAACTAACTATGCAGAACTAGACAAAATGTTCAAATGTGTTTTGTTTTTTTCTTTTGGTTACCTTCAATGTGTTACCATCCATCACTTATTTGTTTGCTAATTATTATTGTTTCTAACGACACAGTCAAAACAATTCAATCAAGGCTTATGTTAGTTAGTTGATGTTAGTTTAAAAAAAAAACTAAGGCTAAGCCCTGTTTGTTTATTTTATTCCGGTTCGTACTTAGTACTTACATATCAAAACATGTTAATCTTTGTTCTCAGGCCAAGCTATTTCAAACGATGCTTCTACATTGTTTGTTGTTGTTACAAATTTAAATACATTTTATTATCCCATTGTAAACTGATTGAATTCAGTCCACGTTATCACTAACGAATAGTTGCAAATATTATATTTATTTGATTATTTGATTAGTCGTTTAGTCAATTCAAATCCTACACTAATAGAAATAGTAACAGTATTAGAGGCAATGGAGAAGCTTAAGCTTCGAAGTATTATTGAGGGTAATATATTAGACACTGTATTTGTTAAACTGATACCTTTGTGCTTATCATAGATGGATTTTTGTCCGTTCTTCTAAAATGGGACAATCAGTGACTGAGACCCGTCAGATGGGATTACGTCCAGTTTGAAGATTTTGCGTTAGATCTCAGTCAATCTCACTGCTAAAACTGGACGATCATCCTTAAGGGGTGAAGTATCAGGGCCTGCTTTTCTCCCTCGCCTTAGATTGTCTGTACCCATTCAACCTCGTTAAGATTTGAAGCGCTCACATCAATTTGCCATTCAGGGTGACTCTGGGGATCGTCTATAACTGAAGGGTGCCTGGAGGCCAGTTGAACTACTCATCAATTCAATTTCCCAGATTGAGAATGAATAATAGTTCTTTTTTTCCGAGATAATTTGACGACTACAATAACTGAGTAGCTTAACTCGTGAATCACACTTGAAACAATCAGTACAGAATTAAAAAGTAAACATCAACATTGAAATCCAAGTATTCCAGTTTTAATGTTTTTCAAATGGGATGAAATCCACCTCCTGGATTGTATCAGTAGGCAGTATCAAAAGTTTAATAAAACTTAAATCATTCATGAAAATGTAATATACATCTTGTGTTTTACACACTTCAGGTCTCTATGTATATCAATTATCACTAGTATTGACCTGATGTATTGATTACCAATACTGAACATTCATTTGAATCGCTTGTAACATTCGTTTTCTGCACTATTTTACACCTTGTTGTTTATCTGTATGAATCGATTGTCGACTTATAATATGCCTTTTTTTACCAAACTGTTTACAATTTAATTTTTGGGTTTTCATATACTATATATCGGTTACATGCTTCTGAAATAGTTCATCGCCTATCTTTCTCTCTCCTCAAATCTATTTCACTGAATGATATCTTCGAACCCTAATCTTCTTCATTGCCGCTAATACTTCTACTATCTCTACCACTATGGGATTTGAACTGACAGTTGCGGCTCTGTGCTGATGGGGTATGGCAACCTGAACTGACGTACGTACGTACGAAGTTCTATGTTGTAACTTACTGACTATCGGTTACATGTTAAATAGAAAATATCAAAAACCTATTGCACAACAGCTAGTAATATGACATTTCCATTTGTTTATAATCTCGTTTCAGAGATTGTGATTTATAATAGAATCGTAATTTCGATTTCCAGTTATTACAATATTTTCATAGATGTTGTATTTGTATTGCTATTACTAATATTGACATTGATTTATTTTTCAGTACTTCTTCGTCTGTTCTTAAAGTGAAATTTTTCTGCCTCTGTTTATCAACTTATTTTATATAGTCATCGAGTATGATTATCGTACTATTAGGTGTCTTTTTTGTAAGTATTGATAAGACTTACATTTCATTCTAGGCTTCACTTATATTAGCATTGATGGTCTACGTTAGATTTAAATCTATGTCAAATTTGAAGACGTTCTCTTAGAGCTTTATGTAGAATGATTTACTACGTATAACAAGCTTGTCAGTTGATCATATGCTAGAAAAACCGCTATTATATTGAATAGTTTGTAGTGCTGATCGCATTTTTATAATGGTGTGTATCAATTTATCTCGAAATTGTAAATGCCTCTTGTTATCGATTATTGATTCACATGAAATGTTGATCCAGGACTTCATAATGCTTTTCTTGAGTCAGCTAACAATGAACTGAAATTTAGTACTGTTCTTCACTCTTGATCACTGCTAAAAACTAGACAACCATAATATCTGTTTAGCTCATTATTCTAATTAGTGATAATCAAGTCATGTTAAACTTACTGTTTATCTTTATTTTATTGTTTCTTTCACATCATTGCCCAATATCTTAGTCTTTCATCTAAGTCAAGCACGATCCCATGTCATTTCAAAAATTTACTATTTAATACGTCTGCACATTTATTGGATATATAGTGAAAAGCCTTTACAAGCGTATACATGTTAAATTTTAATTTGAAAACAGTTCATTTTGATTTTTCCTCGATTGTCTCGGAATAATAATAGCATTATTCCCTTTTGTTCATGTCATCATATCCAAGCTTATTATTATTATTATCATCAATGCTATTATCTTGCTTATTTGTTTGAATTTCAGTGATCAGAATACACCTTTACCATTGGAATTGCCAATGACTCAAGCTGTACAAACTGCTATTATTCCAACACGTGCAGATATAGATCCTGATATATTTTCTACAATGACTTCTTTACAATGTTTTCGTGATCAAGAAAGATTAGTTGAAGAACTATTATCTCCAGTGTAAGTTTGAAATGAATATATATATATATATTTTGCAGAATAATCAATTTATATAAATTCTCTAGTGCACGATTATACAATAATGTTAATGTGTTTGTGAATTATTTCAAATTTATACTTTGTTGGGGACGTTATATCCCCAGAACTCACTTGAAAAGACTCTAATTTTGTTAATTATTGCTGAAATTTTTAATGTTTTCGCGCATAAGACGCTTAGTTGAACTTCAGCTTACATTTCCTCCCTCGGAAAATCCTTGACTGTCTGTTGGATAGTGGATTATTTTAATAGGATCTTTTTGTGTCTCTCCCAAAGACGTTTCTATCATTATATAAATAAACTTGAGTTGTTTGCTTAGCAACCTGGTATTTTCTGGGTGCTTGTAGAATACACTTTCTATGCCTTATCAAGATTTCTTGCTCAAGTTAGCAGGGCCTGGAAGACAGTTGGATTTGAATAGCCTATCGTGTCACTGCATCGTTGATCTTCATTCCGTTTACCGAGTAAGGTGAACTCGTAATAGTTTCAAGCATATCATTGGACGTGCATGTCATACTTACTTCGTAATATTTGTAGGTCGTTGCAGATTATTTAGTTGAGATCAATTTGATGATCATAGCCCATGGTTTAAGACATTACATAAAATAGTTCAGAATCGTTTTTATTCCGATAATTCATATACCTTCTGGAATCCTACTGTGCTTCTCTACTACTGTCTACTGCTAATGATACTATTACTAAGTTTACTACCCTTGGCTCTCTTATCTTCATAGTCTTATCTCATTGTGTTGAACTGATGGTGCACCTATATGATTATGTATTTATCGTCCGATTTAATTTAGCCACTAAATTTTTCTTCTCATTCCGATTTCCTAACTCAACTAGCTAGTTCAAGCTCATGGATGAGAGGTTTGTATTTCATTTCACAATATTATAACACATGTATGGCGCGTTGTAAGCTGTCGATCGAACTATTATGTTGGATCATACATATTCACTTTTTCATTATTAGACATTCAATTTAGAAATTGAAAACTAATGTATTTTTTGTAAATTTTTTTATTATTATTGTTTTTTTTTTAATCCTATATTACATATGTTGTTGATCAACTCATCAAAAGCAACTTTATTATTAAAGGAAATAAATAAATACTCACTCTTTATATTCAAATAATCATGTTAATTTACATTTGTTTTTTTTTGTATTGTTCTATTAAAAATTATCAAAATAAATAAATCAATTCACTGAATATTATAATATATATATATATATATATATATATATATATATATATATATATATATATATATGTCTTGGAAATAGGACAGTCATTGGTTTGTTATAAATCGAAAATTATTTTTCCTTATCATCATAATTATTGTTATCTATTTATTTTGGAAAATTATTTAGAACTCAAGATAATTAATTCACTGATAATATTCATAAGTGGTAGGTAGTAAGTAATAATATTCATACTGGGACATGTTGTACAATATAAAAATTCATACTACATACAAATATATATATATATATATATATATATTTATATTTGTTCCGTTTGTTAGTTTGTTTTTTCCTCTACCACTTAATCATCCAAACTAAAAATTAAATACTTTGATCAATAATAATTGATCGTTTCAATGTGTATCAGTCAACAACAACAACGTAGAACGTCGTGAGTACGTACACAGATGGATGGAGTTGTCAATTCAAATCTCATTATAGTAGAGGTGGTGGCAGTATACGCAGTAATGTAACAGAATAGGAATTAAAGATATCATTTGAAAAGTACAATCCCTTGAAATAAATTTAAAAAGAGAAAAAAAATTGAAGGTTATATTGAATTTAAAAGACTAGAATTCGAGATGAGAGAAAGAATGAATGCACTTGAGCTATGTGATTCAAAGACTCTAACTGTGGTGCGAGCTACTTATAAGTAGTATATGACGTGAGTGTGAACGTAATGTCTGGCAGCAGAAGATGGGAGAAGATCAAGAAAGGAAGAGTTAGAACACAATGGAATTTGTATGAAACGCATGAATAGTGACAATGGATTGATGTTCTGCAACAGGAACCGTCCAGTTCGATATGATGAACTGATATTTTGCAAATTAACGATTTACGATATAGTTTTCCGATTTGACTGAGTAACTCTGTAATTTTCGTTAAATACAATTCGGTTGCCCCACCTGTGTTCTCCTTCACTACGTAACTACCAGTTAAGATAGTCTCACGGATGCCAACTCAATTTGTGTAAAAATGAAAGATTGTTGCAGACTACTTTGAATAGTTAAATAGAAGTAAATCCGTTGTACGATTTCTCACCATATATTTATTGTTAAAGAAAAAAGTATTTTTTTTTCCCAACTCTTTCTATTTATTTAATTCAAATGAAATTTCGAGCATTTGAAAAAAAAGTTTGATAAAAACTTTTCCTTTTTCATTTTTTTTTGAATGTCTAAATCTAGTTCTAAGAAATATATTGGTCATTGCAACAAAAAAAAATAGAAAAAAAAAACAATAAATAAATGATTAATTATTTATCTTTAATCTATTCATTTATGTTTATTTGTGTTTGAAATGGTTTCACATTAAAATTAAAATAAATGTTAAACAATAATATTGTTTAGAGATCGATCTTATAGTCTAGTTGAGTACTATTTTCATATTATAATATCTCTTCTATGATTGTTAATATTTACTAAAAGAGTATAAATATATGTATATCATTCAGTCAGTCAGTTGCAACGTAGAACTTCGTACGTATGTACATCAGTTCATGTTGCTGCTATACCACATCAGCACAGAGATGTAATTGTCAATTCAAATCCCATAGTAGTACAGGTAGTAAAGGTATTAGAAGTAATCGGAGAGGTTAGGATTAGAAGATATTATTCAAGAAGTATGATTCAGTGAGATAAATTTAGAGAGACAAAACTAGAGGTGTTGAGGAAACCAGAAGATTAGGATTTGAAAGAACACAAAGAATAAATGCACCGGCGCTATTGCAAACGGTTTTGAGCCATGTCATTCAGGGTCTATAACCATCGATAATTATCATCTCGCGGACCCCAACCAGGTAGTCGACAATTACCGACATGGCTAAGTCCATTCGTCAATGACTTCATGGATTTCTGACATATTGTGGTCTGGCCGCCCCTAGCTTTATTCCAACCTATTCCTTCACTACAAAACAAAGCTCTTCGAGGCAGTTGGTGGTTAGGCATACGCAGAACATGTCCCAATCACCTCAACTGACAAAGTTTCATTACTTATCTATTGAACTGCCATTCTTGCCTAGCACCCGTTTCCTAATAACAGCGTTGCTCATTCGGGTGTCTCAGGATATACGAGCACTGCTTCGAAGACACCTATGATCGAATACCAGTAACCGACGAATATCTCCTAATCTTACTGGTCATGTTTCGCAACTATAAAACACAACAAAGCGAAGTAAACTCGTCCCTTGGTTAGCAAACAGATATCTCGCCTTCGCCATAAGTGACGCAGGTTGGCAAAAGCCAATCGAGCTTTCTGTTTCCGAGTTGAGATTTCGTCAGTCACCAGGCTATCGGTGCTGATGAGACTCCCCAGATAAGTGAAGCGATCAACACGCTCCCATCAGTATATGTATATGGTCGATGTTGTTTTGACATGAAGAAAGGAAGTATTGTTTTTGTTGAAATTTTGTAAACTACATAGATGGATAGGTTCTCTTTATTTATTTGTTAATGTAAATTATTTAGTCCGTTTATTTGAATGAAAATTTTAAAATTCATGTTAATCTTGTATAATTTGTAAAATTGCATGCATTTTTAACCGATAGACTATTGTTGTTATTCTTCTGCTGATTAATCAATTTGGCATTAGATAAGCAGTTAGTGAATTTTTAAACCTTCTTATTCCTTATTTTTATTTGTAACAATGAATCGATCAATGTTAGACCACCATTAGAAACCTGGAAGCACTGGACGGCCGTTTCGTTAACAATCTTCATTTATTGTGTTCTCTCAAATTATAACCTGAATTCCTCATCATTTCTGTCTTTTCTTTCGAAATTTATCTCACTGAATGATACCTCTCGAATCATATCTTCAGACACTAATCTTCTCCATTACTGCTAATACTTCAACTATCGTTAGAACTATGAAGTTTGAACTGACAGTTGCATCTCTGTGCTGATGGGGTATGGCAACCTGAACTGATATACTCACGTACGAAGTTCTACGTTGTATCTGTCTGTCTGTCTCAGTAGTTAAGTAGTTCTATTTTTTCACTGTATCCACCAGTATGGTAATTGGATATGATAGTCTTTCTGATAGGTGCCAATGTAAAAAATAGTCTGCAATTTATTGAATCACCTTCAGATGTCAGTGTATCTTGTGAAAACCTTTTTTGAAACTATATAACCTTCAGATTAGATTTTCATCAGTAAAGTTCTTACGCACACACATTACTATTAACTAGACAAAGCATGGATATCGTTTGCGCCTAATGCTTCTACAGTTCACTCTCACTGATTAACCCCAAGGAATTATGTGAAAACACACGTTATATGAAAGTAGTAAGTAATGCTTCTCTGACAAAAGCTCACAATCCCCTGGATGTTTAGTCACTTGTAATATAGTTTCCATTTGAATTCATTCTACTTAAATAATATGGTTTAAAGGCACTTTCCTTTCTGAATCCTTAAATTTAGTAACAATATTTTCTATGTGTATATATCAAGCTGTTACGCAAGATCTAAAAAACTATCAATTGATATATTGCATGAAAAGTTAATAAAAAATTTATCAGAAAGCAAATAAATTTCAATTGTAGTCTGTGTGAAAACACTACAAATGAATGAATGATTAGTTGTTATTTCTTTGTACATATTTTTTTTCTTTTAAATTTGAATACATAAAAAATTCAGATTGAAATTTATTTATTTATTCTCATCAATTGACTTTTCTTCATTAAGGTAAATAATTGCACTACTTTTATTTTATTCTGGATGTAATAACTGAGTTGTCTTTTAAAAAACAATAATCATAACATTATTGTTCATATTTAATTGTACAGTAGTTGATAAACTATTCCAATTGTATAAATCATTAACCGGAACGGTTCCGTGAGTTTGTATCTATCTGCCTTCATAAAGCTACTTATATTCAAAAGAATGTATGTGATAGTATTTATGCCCTGACAGAACACGAAAAACCTAAATCAAACTAGATGCATAAGTTATATATTTTTTTTTAAATTGAATTCATTAAACTGTTCAAGCATAAGTAGCAACTTAAAAAAATAATGTTTTAGTTGATTGCGGTATAATATGAATGCGAAATCAGTTACGTAATAAAATATGAAGCGAATGATTTTCTTTTGTTGTTAAAAATGCAAACGTGCCTATTGATTTCAGTTGTTGTATGTTTTTATGAAACAAATGTCATCATTGACAGATAAACTAACATTCATTCCTCTAACTAAGATGAACAAATAACTTCTGTCTATGAACAAACCAAACCTATATTTTTCCCTAAGTGTTAGTGAGTCCTTCAGAGAATCCGTCATCATGTATTTTCAACAACAAAAAAAAATCAAGCTTAATTCAATTAGTGAACATGTGTACACATCCTACTTTCATGAAAGATTGAAGTATTCACAAAATATTTAAAATCCAACGTAGGATAATGATAACTCACAATGTATCATGTATGTATGTATGTACATATCATTTTAAAAATATATATATATTGATAAATTTACCAACTGACTGCAATAAATCATTCACATATATATATATATATATATATATATATATATATATATATATATATATATATTTATCATGCTGATCACCAACGATGGGAATTGTTAACGTTTTCTAAAAAAGAAAATACCAAGATTTATTTCCACATTAAGATAAAGATGTCCGTGGGTTGTGCATATATCGACTTTCACTGTACATGAGTTATTCACATTTGCAATTGGCGATGTCATCTGGTCCAATATGGTCCATATATATATATATATATATATATATATATATATATATATTGATGCTAGAAAACAGTGTAATTCATAAACCAAATGACAGATTCCTGTATACTGAATTTTGAACCAAATAGTATTTTTTAAAGTATATTTTTTGGTATTCATACTGAAATAGTCAGTTTAGAATCTCAGACCTAAATATCAAAAACCTGTTATCATTACTACAAGGTTGGTATCATAAATGTTCTGTAACTAATAATTACTTTTTATTATTAACCTTTCAAACATTCTATACTAGTTGGGATTTTAAAAAATTTTCTGTATTGAGCGAGCTTACGTTATTCCAACAACGAATTACTGTCTAGAACTTTGGAAATATTTTAACGCCAACTTCTTTGCTCACATTGTTTGTTACACAGTATATTGACTTAGCCATAAATAATTTTATTTATATAAACTAAATGATTGTTGGTATTTTCAAAGTATTCATTTTACTTTTCATACTGTTAACGTAACCTATCGACTTACATGATATTTGATTATCATATAACATAGTTTAGAATATCATGAATAATTTGACTATTTCATGAGTTTGGAAGATAATAACTACTGCTCTCCTAAATACTGTGTTTTTCTTTTAAAAAAATTTCATTTTTACGCGTAATACACACGTATAAATTGGTTTTAAATCTGATCAGTTGTAAAGATAATATCTTGTGTAACTTTGTTCTCGCTAAGTAGTTGTTTGACTTTCCACCGAAATCAACTTATTATCAATGGGGTAATCAGTTAAATTGGTGTTGGGGATGTTAAATCCCCAGAACTCGCTTGCTAAATGCCTTATTTTGGATTTCACGTTTACGAGCATGGGCTGATCAGTTGATCTTGAGATTTCACTTCTCACCAGGAAAATCCATGGCTGTGAGGCTGCTGTGTATTTTAGTGTGCTATTTTCGTAACTGTCCCAAGGACGTTAAGTCTATCAACACACCAATTTATGCCAGAATTATAATGTATTTTGATCAGAAATTTAGTACATGGTTTCAAACAGGCAGTTATAGTAATAGAAAACATAACGTAAGGCAAATTGATTACTTCAAATGCTGCCTGTCAGGCATGTACACTTTTTTCCATTCTTGTTTAATTTTGTCATAGACATCCTTCTAGATATACCATTATCTTCGTCAGGAGTATGCCTTCTACCAGGAGATTCATTGGTTGACTAGATTCCACTTCTTGAATTATAATCTTCGAACCCTGATCTCTCCGATTACTGCTACTACTTCTACTACCTCTACCACTGTGGTATTTGAAGTGACAATTGCGTCTCTCTGGTCACGTGGTATGGCAACTTTAATTGATGTACATACGTACGAAGTTCTACGTTGCTGTTGATGATGATTAAGACTATACATACATCATCATTAGGATACACTGAGTAAACATGAAACTCAATCAGCTATGAATTACTTATCATAAGATTAATTCCAGTTATAGAATGTATCTGTAGTTGAATACCCTGAGTCTATAATGATATTTGTTTTTGTATATTATAATAATGGATTTACATATTCTCTCCTCTTCACTTTGGTCACTGATTTTTTTCAAATTTTTCCAGAATAAACGATGCTCTCATTGATTTGTTTTATTGTTGTATTGATTTGTTTGTCATTTTCTTCTTTTTTTTTTTATAATTTCATAGACATAATACTGAAAAAGTGATTTATTTCCTTCTATTGGATCGTAAACTACGAAATCCCAGTTCAGACGATCCAGATGAAATTCGATCTCGAAGTAGTACTCGTAAGTTGATTGCAAATGTGTGTGTACCATGAAAACATTCATGTTCTCTAATGTCCATATGTGCTTATATATTAACACACAAAAATAAATCATTCACTAATATGTCTGTATGTGTGTGTGTGTTTGTCTGTGTGCTAGTGTATAATACAACACCAACATACATGATCATCTAACTTGTTATTGGTTTTTTTCAATTATTGTTTTCTGTTGAAATGGTGTTGTTCTCTTGTCTTTTACGAGTGTAATCTGATTGAAAGATTACTGAAATATTTTTTTTCTTATATTTCGTTTATGGATAATCATTATTTTTATAATTGTGATTTGCAGTAATAATTTCGTCAACATTATTGATAGATATATATATTTCTTAATTTCACACATTTTTATTCATCAAAGCAATTACCTTCTCTGGAATGAACTATGAATGGATTTTCATTCTTCATATAACTATTGTTAATAAATATTTTTCTTATACATTATTCATGGTGAATTTGTAGGCAACATTTTTTTTTAATTGACTATTACTGTCCATGAAGAATAGTTTTTTGGCTATTCGAAGTTTAAACTGGTTTATGACATATCAGATTGTTAATTCAATTAAGAAGAGAGCACAGTGATGTTTATATTTTTGTGCTCACATTGAATCAATGTGAAATATGGTGTGTTAGAAAATAATAATGACTTCTGGGCTCTCCAAATAATAATTATTATCGTTAAATAAAAAAAAAATTTTATTCTAAGGATTAATTATGATAGGACAAGCAGAAGACAGATTGACGATGTGAAAGATGTCTTAATAGTAATTGTTGCATAAACGAGATTTTACCTCGGATATATTATTTATTCATCATTAGTTTATCATTCTCATTCATGAAAAACCTATCAATAGAAAGTGAAGTAGTCGAGCGTGTTGATCGCTCGTATATCCTGAGACACCCGAATGAGCAACGCTGTTATTAGGAAACGGGTGCTAGGTAAGAATGGCAGATCAATAGATGAAGTGCTGAAACTTCATCATTTGAGGTGGTTGGGACATGTTCTGCGTATGCCTAACCACCAACTGACTCGAAGAGCTTTGTTTTGTAGTGTAGGAATAGGTTGGAATAAAGCTAGGGGCGGCCAGACCACAACATATCAGAAATCCATGAAGTCAGTGACGAGTGGACTTAGCCATGCCAGTAATTGTCGACTACCTGGTTGAGGTCCGCGAGATGATAATAATCGATGGTTAGAGACCCTGAATGACATGGCTCAAAATCGTTTGCAATGTCTCAGGTGCATTCATTCATTGTGTTCCCTCAAATTCTAGCCTTTTGAATTCCTCATCATTTCTGTCTCACTGAATTATACTTCCTGAGTCATATCTTCGAACCCTAATTTCTCTGTATACTGCTAATACTTCTACTATCGTTACGACTAAGGGATTTGAACTGACAATTGAGTCTCTGCGCTGATGCGGTTAGGCAACTTGAACTGATGTACTCATATACGAAGTTCTACGTTGCGACTGACTGACGGGCTGACATCTTTACTTTTCTCAAAATCATCATCATTTAACTCATTTTATATTGTCATTTTGTGTTTCACTGAAATTTGTTCACTTCACAAAATGTTTTTTTTCTTCATTTAATAATGGAATAATATGAATTGGTTATTTTTAAAATACTTTTGGTTAAATATTATCCAAGTATGAATGAATAAATAAGAAATATTACCAACCTAAGTATTGAATTGTTTTTTTTTGTAGTTTATCCGCTTCAGATATAAATTTTTCGACTAAAATATTATTCACTATTTCATATAATCCAGTAGTTGTAAAATAAATAGAACCACTAAAGTATCGTCAAGAAAAATCATATTAATATTGTTCAATATTTCATTACAAGTCCATTCTGACAGTGAATATATACATAGATATAATTAGATGATGATTTGAAAATTTCTCCGATTTCAAGCTGGTTGTCGTCATTATAACAAATGACTAATTCTGTACACCCCCTATGATAGCTTTAATTTATCGTTTAGTAAGTGTAAATAACTAGCAATTCGTTTAATAGGGATTAAACAGTTGACTAATCCTTCGCCTCCTTATAATTCCTCACCCGATCCTGCTAGGCTTATATTATGTTGCAGTTTTTAGTCTAAGTTGTAAATATCGCCCTTAGATTGATTCACGACCATCATTTCTTAACATAAAGCATGTAAACCCTCTAGTTTAACTTTAAAAATAATTGTATCGTTATACTATTGAAGTTCTCAAATATAATTGATATTAACAAACGCTTATTTCAACATATGCTTGCCGATCGTTGTTCATTAAGTAAATAATCATAGTATTATTCACGAGTACTATTTCTAAACTTAAAACCCATTGAAATATGAATAGGAAAGTTTCGAATTTATCAATATGGTAAGATTACCGTTGCCGATGTCAGTCAGTCAGTCAACAACAAAGAACTTCGTACATAGGTACATTTGTTCATGTTGCCATACCACATTAGCACAGGGATGCAATTGTCACTTCAAATCCCATAGTAGTTGAAGTATTAGCAGTAATCGGAGAGATTAAGTTTCAGCGATATTATTCAAGAATTAGAGTCTGGATAAAGAAACCTAAAAAGATGAAGGTGATGAGAAATTCAGAAGGTTAGAATTTCATAGAACACAAAGAGTAAATTCACCTGCGCGACTGCGAACGATTCTGAGCAATGTCATTCAAGGCCTCTAACCATCGGTGACTTTCGTCTCGCGGACCCTAACCAGGTGGCAGCTTACATTTAACAACATGATTCAGTCCATTTGTCAGTGACTTCATGGATTTCTGCCGTGTTTCGGTCTGGTCGTTCAACCTATTCCTACATCGCTCGACGAGACAGTCGGTGGTTAGGCATACGTAAAACATGTCCCAACCACCTCAGCTGATGAAGTTTCAATACTTCATCTATTGATCTGCCACCCTTACGTATTACCCGCTTCCTAACGACAACATTGCTTACTCGCTTGTCCCAGCATACACGAGCCTTCTGTATCCGTGCTGAGATTTCGTCAGTCACCATCAGATGTAAAATATTATTACTTCCTTAAATGGCTAATATTTTTTGTTTATTGATCCGAACTAATGTCATCCAAGTTTTAACCTCCATGTATGTATGACCTGAAGTGCAAATATTTATTCATTGTCATAGCATTTAGTTTTTGTTTTTTTTCACTCTATGCCAATATTCTTCCTAAAATTTTTTATCACCTAAATAACAAGTCTTGCATCATTGTCTTCATCTAAACTATTTTGTTACCTTTGTGTGTGTGTGTGTATTTTTCTGGTTTTAATTGTTATTTTCAGTTTTAAATAAAATTTAGTTTTATGTTTTTGACATAACATGTATTATTTCTCTTGTCCTTAATTTGAAATTTAGGTTAAATGTGTTTGAAATTTGACGAAACCTGGCTTAATTCTGTTTAGTTCATTAACTTAACACGACTACACATACAGTATTTTTCCGTGATTAAAATAGACTAAAATAAATTTCTATTCAATATTCTCATACCTAAGGTATAAATCATCATCAGGTAAACTGTTGAATTTGATTACAAATCATGATAGGAAATCCTTGAAAGAAAAAAAAACTGTCGATATAATAATGACTCATTGACTGATGTATCCTTAAACTATTCAACTCATAGGTTAAAACTTAGAATTATAAAAGAATTTTCAAAAGCTTATTTCATGATTGATTTTGTATTGATGAATCAATCAATTGATGTCCTTTGAAAATTTGTAAATATCCTTATAGTGTTTACATCTACTATATATATATATATATATTAACAGTTGAAAACTGCAAATGAAATTTGAAGGTAAACATTTGAAAAAATAAAATTATCAATTGAATTATCTTGTTATAATAAGTTGTATTATTGGCTGTATATTTTTTGTTAATTTTATTTTTATCAACTTCATATGCATCTCCTTGATCATCATCAGTCCAAACTTAATACCAATCACTTGGACATCAAGTTTTTCGATGAGACTCAAATAAATAAAAAACTACCCGCTGCTCTCTGAGTAAAAAATAAATGATATACATCATGATAATTCACCTGTGAATTCAACAATGATTATTCAAAATTGTTGGTATCTACTGTTATCATCACTTGTGATCACCAGAATATTTAATCTTAGGTATTCTTATTTGTTCCCAAAATAAAAAACACAAAATGACACAATGTGTAACCGATAACAACGACAAGACAGTAAGTAAACAACGGTAATTTTTACGGATGCTTGGAATAAGGGACATTTAGCTGCAACACATATATATATATATTACAAATAAGGAATGTGTAGAAAAAAATTTTGATTTGATTGTGACCCATTTAGTCTCCTGTGCTTTTATGTGTATGAGAGCGGATATTACTTCTCGGCTACCCACACCGTCGAAGGATTCTGGTTGTCAGTAAGAGCATCGACCTCATGACTACCGAAGGAACTTGGCTTTCATCATGAGACATCATAAGTCTTCTAAATGAATACCTAACTCCCAGATCAGGGTTTATATGGTTTGAATTGTTTTTTCTTGTTAACGTCTTTTTAGTGAGTTAGTTTTTTTGCGGCATGAGGTCACCAACCCTATGCTCAACCCTCCTCTTTTACCCGGGCTTTGGACCGGTCGTAGCACTGAAGGGTTTACAGGTGGAGTTGATATAAGGAGAAGGTATATATATTAAAAGAGGCAAGATTGATATATCCTATAGTTTATCATGACCGAAAAATATGCAATATTTTCCAAATCCCAAATAAAGCGTGTGAAAATTACGGTCATTAAATAGTCTTTCTTTGCAATAAATATATATTTATTAATTTATCCTTTTCTTTTTTAAAGTTCAAGATACCTAAAAGTACATGTTGGTTATTCATTTCTCCCTTTTTTTCTCTCTCCCTCTCCCTCTCCCTCTTATTCGTTTTAAACTGATAATCAACAGTTTTCTTGTTTTTTTTTCTTCCAATTGAATCACTGATAAAATCTACAATACA